GTCTGCACTGTAAAGTTCGCTAACACGAAACGACAGTACTGCGGCGAGTTCGACAACTGGGGCGCCGTCATGTCCGTCTCCAACGAGCTGCTCTGCAGCTTCGAGCTGCTTAAGCCGCTAGACTCGAGCGCGCTGAAGAGCCACATCAAGAAAGGCAGGAACAAGAGACAGAGCATGCTCAACAGTCCGGTGAGTCGATTCGAGATGCGTGACGCGGAAATGAAAGGAGACTGACAAACATGGCAGCCTGCACACGTCGAGCCGCGAAGCGTTTGATGAGGTGGCCGTGCTGGGGAGACGAGGGACAGCAGCAGACAAATCTCCATTCACTGATGGATCAATACTACGAATTACAATTAGTCGGGCAACCGGGCAGAACATTTTCAGACCAGAGCTCTTCAAGGCGATCGGTGCGGCTTAGGCGTCATGACGAATACCCTCGGCAGGTGGAACTCCCCGAAGGACATGAGCGCCAACTCGAGTCCGATGATTACGGACGGAAGATGCCTGCAAAAGGCGTAACAGCCGAGTCGAGCGATGGCCAGGTTGGGATACTTGGCAGGGTCAAACTCCAGCAGGTGCCATTCGTTAATGTTTCAGGTCTAGACACGGGCTTGGACAAGAGCTGGAGACAGCTGGGAAACAAGCGAGTTTATTCAAGGAAGTGCCAGGGTAAGACTTGGTTTGTTACCGAGTCTGGCTGGCGATGAAGGGGGTCGGCTCTTGATACCGGCCTGTCTTGGGCAGACGCAACAAGGAGCTAGCGATACTGCGTACATCTAGTTCGTTTACGAACGTGAACGTGTATCGATGAAAGCATCGGCTAGCGGTGTTTTATCATCTTTTACACAAAGAGATAGTCATGTAGTGGTACTGGGACTTGGTTTATTTTTTATTCTTTTGCAAATTTGCCTTCCGGACTCGGTGACAGTGGAAAGACCTGTCCCTACGAGAGAGTCTTTGCACAATATGAACAGCTGGTGCAATCACGAAGGGCCGTCGCATTGAGGTCCAAGGTGCCTAGTAGGAAGAAGGACACCCACCTACCTACCTAGGCACTTCTTGATTACAAGCTAAAGGTTGGTTTCGCACCACCTGCCCGCCACGCCTGTAAACACGCCGCCTGTCTACTTTTGCGCGGGCGAGTTGAGGCGAGGCAGTTGTGCCCCTCCATGAGACAGCCCCACTTTCCGCCTTAGCTGAGCCTCTTTTTTTTCTCTTTTCCACCACCGACTTGACAGAGACTCGGTGTGATTAGACTGAATCATTTCGATATCTTTCAATTGCTGTGGGGGAAGCAGCAAACCAACCCGGGAGATTCGATTCAACCCATCCAACTGAGATTGTGGATTCTTCCTCGGGTGCATGCCTTCTTCCCATGCCAAAATTGGCACGCAGCGTAAAGTGAGATTTTCCTTTCTTCCCTCTCCCTCTCAAACCATTTCACCAGTTGGCTCGGTCTTTTCTTTCCTTGAACCAACCCACACTTTCTTCCCCAACCACCTTGCAGCTGGCCATTTGTTCTACCTCGCCGGTATCCCATTCGCCAGAGATACCACCCACGCTCACACCTCTGTCAGGTACAGGGTAGATCCGAGCAAGATGGAGAACCAGGCCCCTCATATCGACGAGTCTGAGCAACGCGCAGCGAAGCGCCTTAAGGTGGACGATTCTACGCAGCCGTCCGAAGTTGCCGCTGCGGAGGAGCAGCGTGCCGCAGTTAATGAGGCTTACGAGCACGTGGAACCTGTTCCTGCCAATGGCAACGCCGGTGAGAAGGTCGACGTCCAGATGAGCGAGGCCCCTGCTGCCGATGAGAAGAGACCGGCCAACGGTGGCTCTGCTGCTGTCCAGACGAGCGATGCGACCGCAGAGCCGAAAAAGGACGACAGAGATGTGAGACGTGGCCAGGCTCCTATCAAGGCCGAGTAAGATACATTTCAAGACCTTTGGAGAGGTCTACTTTACTGACTGCCCTTGTAGGTTCCTCGTTTATAGGGAAGGCCAGGCGAAGGAGCAAGAAGAGGTCATTGATGACGATGCGGCAGAGGGTCGCGATCAAGGTGACGGCAGAGATGCCCGGGACAGCCGTGACAAGCGCGACAAGAAGAAGCGTGAGAAGGGCCAGAACAAGGAGCGCAGCTTTGGCCACTTTGACGATGCCCTCCGCCTCTGCAACAGTCGTGCCTACACCCCCGAGTTCTCTCCTCGCGATTGCAAGTTCGGTGACAGGTGCAACATGCTTCATGACCTGCGCAAGTACCTTAAGGAGGGTCGTCGCGAAGACCTCGAAACGTTCGACGGCAAGTGCCCCGTCTTCGAGCAGCTGGGTGTCTGTCCCTCCGGCTGGAAGTGCCGTTTCGTCAAGAGCCACATGAAGGAGATCGATCACGAGGACGGCCGCAAGGAGCTGGTTCTCGTTGAGGAGCCCAAGGAGGCGAAGATGAGCGGCGAGGCCCCCACTGACGCCGGACGCGAGGATCTTAGGCCGGGGGTCTACAATAACACGGAGAACCAGCTCAAGATCGATCTCAGCCGCAAGCGTGTCGACTTCACCGAAACGGACAAGTACATCACCTGGATGAACAAGGAAGCCAGGCTCGGCGACGAGTTCCACCAGCGCCGTAAGGACCAAATCATTAGCAATCAAGAGGATCTGCGCGCGCAGTTCGTCGACCCGCCCCTGAAGCCGTCCGAGAAGCGTAAGCTTTACTTTGGTAAGGAGACGCCAGCCCTCGCGCCGCTGACCACCCAGGGCAACCTGCCCTTCCGCCGACTCTGCGTCGACCTCGGCGCCCAGCTCACCTACTCGGAGATGGCCCTGGGTATGCCCCTGGTGCAGGGCGTAAAAAATGACTGGGCGCTGATGAAGGCCCACGAGAGCGAGATCAGCCCACCCAAGGTCAATCAGGTCAGCAGCAATATCGTCCAGGGTTACGACAACTCCCGTGACCTCAAGTTCGGTGCGCAGATCTCGGGCAGCCAGGCCTGGCACTGCGTCAAGGCGGTCGACCTCCTCAACCGCTACGTTCCGCACCTGCGTCTTATCGACCTCAACTGCGGCTGCCCCATCGACATGGTCTTCAAGGCCGGAGGCGGCTCCGCGCTGCTCGAAGCCCACGGCAAGCTTGAGCGCATGGTCCGTGGTATGAACACCGTGTCAGGCGAGATCCCCATCACGGTCAAGCTCCGCACGGGCGTCCGGCAGAACCGCCCTACGGCGACCACCATCCTTGGCAAGCTTGCCTTCGGTTCCCGCGAGAATCGCGACCGTCTCGGCGCCCCCGGCTGCGCCGCCATCACCCTCCACGGCCGTAGCAGGGAGCAGCGGTACACCAAGAAGGCCGACTGGGGCTACATCGCCGAGTGTGCCGCCATGATCAAGTCGTACAACGAGGAGAAGGACAAGATTACCGACACGGCGCGTGAGCCCGATGAGTCCACCCTCCCCAATGCAAAGGACGGCCGCATGTTCTTCCTCGGAAACGGCGACTGTTACTCGCACGTCGAGTACTACGAGCACATTGAGAAAGCAAAGGTCGACACTGTCATGATCGGCCGCGGCGCTCTCGTCAAGCCCTGGCTTTTCGAGGAGATCGAGAAGGGCCAATACCTCGACAAGTCGGCGACGGAGCGCCTTGCCTACGTTGAGAAGTTCTGCCGCTTCGGCATGGAGGCCTGGGGCACCGACGAGCTCGGCCTCGGCTTCACGCGTCGCTTTTTGCTAGAGTGGCTCAGCTTTGCGCACCGCTACGTGCCCATCGGCCTGCTCGAGTACCTCCCGCCCAACCTTAACGACCGGCCCCCGGCATATCACGGCCGCAACGACCTCGAGACCCTACTTGCCAGCAAGAACTACCGCGACTGGATTAAGATCAGGTATGCGAACCCTCGCCGACGGCTTTCGAACCAGGGGGGAACGATTTGCTAACTCTTGCTAGTGAGATGTATCTGGGCCCGGCCCACCCCAACTTCACCTTCCAGCCCAAGCATAAGTCCCACTCGTATGAGGCCGAGGGCTAGATGATACGTCAACTCAGTGCTTTCGTCAACGGAAAAGTCTGGAAACTTTCATCTCCCATAGCCGAGAAGCAATGTGCGAGGATGTTTCTGACGATCACCGCCCCAGATTAGGAGGCCATGGAGACGGAAATGGGCATTTGCTATCTCTGGTTGCTGTTTTCTTTCCTTTTCTTCTTCTTCGCTCTCTTGCGCGGAATGCCGCGTATGGATGCTGCCTTCCTGGTCCTTTTTCAAGGCGACAGAGGGAGCTCAAGCTCGTATGTAGAATAGCATCGAAATGCAAACAAGCCGGAGGCTGCTGCTTAAAAGGCATTGTCACGATGTTAGGAACAAAGGGCAACCGCTCTTGGTGCGACGTTTGGGATGTTGAATTGCTAGCTCCTTCCCATGCCGTCCGATGGCAAGGTGGACAACCTGGTGGCCGTGCATGATGCCTTTATTCCTCATGTCCCATACACCGATCGATCACAGGAGGGCTGCGCAGGTTAGGGTCCAGCCGCATGCTTGCTGCTTGTGCCGCTCTCGCTTACAAACAAGACGAAGTTGGAAGAACGGTCAACAGTTGTCATACCCATGAGTCGGACAAGGCGGGATTTTTGGGAATGTGCGTAGAAGGGAAGCTCGTTCTGTTTGGAGTCGGAGGTGTAAATGTCAAGACGCCGCGAGGTCTTCTCTTGCCGTGTGAAACTTTCCTGTAAGTCTGCTTGTAGACAGCATTATGGTGACATGATAGAACGTGAGGGATGATGTGGGCCAAAGGTAGTGATTTGCGTCAAAAAGCAAGACCTTGATTATAGCTATAACTCAACGCCGTCCAGGCTTCCCACGCCTACATCTCATCCAGACGGATCCTTGACCCGGAGTATGTTCTATAGCTCACTTCTCCTTTTTCCACCTGCCTCCACGCGCGGCGGTTTTCTATACTAGGGTTTTAACAAACGTTGAGACCATCAAGACATAACTTCTTTTCTTTCCCTTTACTGCGCCTTCTTGTTGCCCTGGGGCTGCGTCTTAGCATACTGGTCCGAAAGCTCATCGTAGCTCTTGTGTAGGCCAGCGCTCTGTTTCTTGAGCGTCTCAATGTCGCGGTTCTTCTGTTCGAGCTCCTTGCGGAGCCTGGCAATCTCACCGGGCTCACCGGCGACGGCAAGCTTCTCGCTCTCCTTGGCGTTGCCCTTGGTGCCCTCGTAGCTACGCACCTTATCCTCAAGACGCATCACCTCGAGGATCATGACGTAGGTACGGTTCAGGATCAACGAGAGGAAGAGGGTAAAGCCGCAGAGGTACATGTTACGCTGGGAGTAGAACTTGCGAGCCTGCACCTCGAGGCGTTCGTGACCCATAACAGCGGCTCCACTGCAGAAACGACCATTGTTAGTATCGTATGCTTTGATCGTCCTCGAGGGTCTATTGTTGCAGGAGGGATTCAAGGAAGCGTCACGCGAGTGGAGGAAACGTACCCGCTGTTCTGCTTCTCAGTAGCAAGCGCGAGCTCGACCTGGACGCGATAGACGCGGTTGACGCTGTCTATGAAGAGGATAAGGATGAAGACGAATGTGATCTTCATCCAATACTGGACTTTTGCAACGATTGGACTTTCGGAGATGAAGCTGCGAGCATAAAATCAACGTTAGCGATCGAATCACCGGGAAGGGCAGGACCAAGAGCCGAAGAAAAAGGTGAAACTTACGTAAACAGCTTGCGCTTGACAGTGAAGGGAAGAGGCACGATCAGGAGCATGAACAGCCCCATCTCTGCCATGAGCAGCACGAACACCTAACGCGGGAAGAGTCAGTATCGACCGCCGTCCACGAGAAGATGGTTCCTTCTCTCAAACTCGACTGGAAGGAAAGATAAGGATCGAGCGCGGGCGAGAGACGTACGAGAGTGTAGTAGAGAGTCATCTTGAACGGTGAGGGGAAAGCTTTTGCACCCGGAACAGTCTGTCAAAAAACTCGGTTGGTCGTGTGCTCTCCTTTGAAGGCAGGAGAGAAGCAGTAGTGATGGTGGATACACTCGGAAGCCCAAACTGACTTGTTCCGGTGGTGTTTGTTTGCGGTGAGTGTCGGAATACCTTGGTGGGAGCTGTGTTTTTCGGGGTTTTGCTGTGGTTTGTAGAAGTGGTGTCGACAAAGCCGGGCGGAGCTGGCTTTATGTAGGATGTACGTAAGAGGTGACGATGGGGTAAGGTAATTCCTTCTGGCAGAGGTGGCAGGTACGCACAGCAAGGTACCTTCTCTTTCTCTGCGGAGGCAGGGACCCGGACCGACCTTCTACGGGTTACGTAGCTTGAGAGGGACCTTGACCAGGGCTGGCTGGGAGCAGCACAGCTGTTGAAAATGGGACGTAAGTCAACAACGTCATCGGTGGCTCGTGCGGCTTCAATTGGGGGGGGGTATTCGTACCTAGTGTGAGCTGAGGTACGCACTTTTTCAGGGTGCTGCGGCTTCCGGCTTCAGCTGACGGTGGCTTCGTGTCCTAAACGGTAGGTATTCGGATGCGGCTGAGTTTCACAGCTGGCACCAGATGTAATGAGGACTGCAACGCGCCTGGCTGCTCTTCCCAAGACCCCAGACAAGCCTGAAATTCACAACTGGCCCGCCATCCATCTGACGTCAATCGCGGGAATGACCCAATGCAGAACGATTAGGATGCGGATTGCGGATATTCATGTGAATTAGTCCTGGGTCTGCTCTAAGCCACAGTCAAGCTGCAACAGCATACTCATCGTGATCGAGAGCCCGCTTCTTGCCGCACGCCTCTCGCCCATCACACATCGCAATATCTTGCCCAGGACTTGGCAGGTGATAAGAATCGCCATCAATAAACAGCTAACTCTCTTGACCTAATACGTGCGACCCGCCTTCGTGGCTTCACTTTGGGTATTCATGGCAAATTGAAACCAAAGCAACCATGCGGCCACATAACCGCTTCTCATGCCACAACTTATTCGTAAACCTAAACGCCCAGCTTTTGAGTCCAAAAAGAAACAGAGGACCTCCTCAAAACGAGACAAGATGAAAAAGAAACCCCCAAAAAGAGGGCTGGATCGTACAAATCTTACAAAGAAAACCTATAGCACCGCCGTATCGTTCCGCCATCGAGGTTGCCCCGCTGACTGCAGGTTCGTTTCTTGTTTAGTTATAAAATACGCTCTTCTGGAAGCTCTCTGGTGACACGTCGCCAATCTTCGACTTGACTTCTGGTGCCTTCTCCAGAACGGCACTAGTCAGCGAGTTGGTTCGACTGCTGTCGCTAGGGGCGGCCTTGATGGCGGCCAGAGGCTGGCCAGGCCGCTTGATGACCTCGAGGTAGGTCGATGGGAGGTATCCCTGACGGCCATCACGGGCGCGACACCTCCACCACTCACTAGGATTGCCCATAGGATCGCTCTTGGAAAGGACCGCGACGAGGTCACCCTTGCGCACGGCCATGTCGACGTCCTTTACGGCATTGCCGGGCTGAGGGGTGTAGTCGTAGAGAAGACGACAGTAGTCGAGCTTGGAGGGGTCTAGAGGTTGTTGCTCGCCAGCCATTGCCATGCGACGCCTTTCCTCTTCCTCTGCCGAGGCAGCCATGGTGTTGATCATTTTGCGCATGAGGTACGGAAGACCGAACGCGGCAAGAAGGAAGAAGAAGAGCGGCTTGCGGGAGGCCTTGGGAGGTCCCAGAGGAGCGCCGTCGGGACCGATGGGCTGACGGCCCTCGAACTTGGCAAAGGCTGCCGGTGTAAGCGCTGTCGCATCAGCCGGGGGTGGACGGCCGGTGATCTTGGCGATGAGTGTGCGGATCCAGCGCATCAAGGTAAAGATGCCGAGGATCGAGCCCAGAGTATCTCTCAGGTTGCTGAACTGCTCGGCTACCGATACCATGGCTGAAGTGATGTTAGCCCACGTGATATACCGGTTGAAGGACGGGATATATACCGAAGAAGCTCGAGTGTGTGGCCATGTATGTACTTTCCAACATCTGAGCAAAGCCTCCGAAGGCACCGACGATGCCCTCGAGCATCTGGAACGTCGCTTGGGTGCTGTTATTGAATCGGTTCGTCAAACTATTCGGGTCGTTGGGCATTCCACCCATCCCCATGCCTCCATAACCTCCCATGCCGCCGTACATACCCCCGCCGTACATGCCGCCGCCCATGCCGCCGTAGCCGCCATACATGCCTCCGCCGTATCCGCCGTAGGAACCCATCCTAGAGTAGGGACTGCTGTAGGGCGAGGAGTAGGCGCCACCGTAGGTTCCGTAAGGGCTGTTCGTCGCACCGACACCGCTACTGTAAGCAGCGGCGTTCTGGTTGACGGCAGCGTTGAGGGAAGCCGGTCGCTCGGGGACCACGGGCGGGGTACTGCCGGAGGAGGCGAGGGAGGTTGCCGGTGACGGGCTCGCAAATGAGGCGGTAGTCGGGACCGCTGCTGGAGTTGTTGTTAGCAAATCTCTGTTTGTGGCGTCATGGACATTCATTTGGTGTTCAACGCACTTGGGGCAGCTGTTGTTGTAGCACCGGCCCTTTCCCAGGGTTTTGGAGGGGAAGCCATAGTTACTTTTCCCGTGAGGAAGGAGTTTTCCTTGGATACTGAGTCGGTTCGGCGTTATCTCGCAATCCCACCTATCGGGGAAAGTGGTGGCGAATTCCCTCGGGCGCGTGTTTTCGGTCGGTGTGCACGCCAGGCTCCGGAAAAGCGACGAAGGATGGCTTCAACCGAGCCAGGTCCTCAGAGTGAAAGCGAGCAATCGACTTCGATCAGTCGCGATATCGGATGATAAGACAGCGGCGCTGAATGATGCGTCGAAGAAGAAGAAGAAGAAGAGGGGGGTGGAATTCGAGTCTAGGGAAGAGACGGATGGCAAAGGCAGATTGGGGCTCCTAGTGGGCTCGCGCTCTGGGGAGGAGTCGGTGACTACCTATACTGTCTGTACGTGTAGCCAGTCAGTCACATTGGGTGGCGGGCAAGTGGCCTGGGGGCTCGTGCTTAGCGTTTGTATGGTAGAACTCATGTACTCGGGGTCGAGGCGGGTCCCCTCTACAATTGCTTTGCCTCGGTTCGTTTTCTCAGGCGGATGGCCCACCACTGCACTGCCATTTTTTGGGCCTCGGTATCTTTACGCACCGGCTTACAACCGTGGGACATTGCTTTTTATTAATATTCCGGCGTCGAATCATCCTCGTTGTCGACTATACACCCATAGTCGACATTCCTGGCCTCCTCCTACGCTTACCTCAATCGCATTTTCGCATTTGCCAACGTGTCGTGGCTGTCAAGCTACAGGCCAGCGGCGATTCCAATGACTTCAGCATCCCGGAAGCTCACGTTCGTCAGTCAGCGGCTTAGATATTGAATTAAAATGGGCTTCAAGAGTTCAGCGAGCAATGGAACATCGATTCTTCAAGCTCAACGCATTTTATCATCCAGTGCCTTCAGAAACTAGCCAACCGCCCAAGTAACTCACTGTAGCCCGGCAAAAGCCTTGGAGTTCTTCACATGCTCCTCCAAAGTCGTCAGCTTGTCCTCCACAATCGCATGCGACTCGTCCAGCTTCTCGCCGCCGTAGTACCCAAACTCATTGAGCAGCCTCATGTTCTGCAGCAACTCCTCCGCAGCAAAGTCGGGCATGCCCTGGCTCTTGAGCGCGCCACGGAAGGCATCGTGCGAGGCCTCGTTGTACCGCGCCGTCTTGCCCGCCTCTGGGTACACCTTCTTGAACACGTCAACGGCCTCGCCAGCCGTCGTGTACGCTGTTGCCGCCAGGACCCGCTTGCCGAGCAGCTTTTCGCGGTTCAGCACGATACCCTTAACGAACTTGCCCGTGTCGGCGGCCGGGTCGAAGAACGGAATCGGCGAGCTGGCCGGGATAGGGAGGGTGAGGGCCCAGGCGTTGTCCGGCGGCGTCTGGCGGAGCATGCCGCCGGGGAGGTTGGACATGTAGAAACCGGGAAGGAAGAAGGTTGATGGAAGGGAGGTTGTGCGGATGTACTCCTCCACGGCGGCCTTGCTGTCAAAGTGATAGACGTCGGGGAGAACGCCGTTAGACACTGTTTTTGTGACATGTCAGTCGCTCGTCTCGCATCGTGAGCATGGCAATGTCAGAGAAGAGGGGAACGACTTACACTTGGTGATGTCGAGAAGCGAGCTAAAGATGAAGTGCTCAACGCCAGCCTCCTACTACAAGTCAGTGTGCATTCTCCGCAGGGACGGCAGCCAATCTACGCACCAGAGCAGCGTCGGCAATGTTCTTGCCCTGTTGGACCTCGAGCTCCTTATCAAGCTTTTCCCAGTAGTTGGTCACGGCGAATACGGCTGAGGCGCCCTTTACGGCCGCGGCGAGCGAGGACTTATCACCGAGATCGGCCTGTCGAGCGAAGATTATTAGCACGGGGATTTTCCCAGCTCCTGGAGCATCCGTGAACTTGACTTACAGCGACAATCTCGACGCCCTTGGCTGCTAGAGCCTTGGACGAGTCCTTGCTGGTATCGCGAGTGACGCCGCGGACTTGCCAGTCTTTGCTGAGCTTGGGGTCGCTGAGGAAAATAGAAACGACGCTGCCACCCTGGGCACCGGTGGCACCGAACACAGTGATGAGCTTCTTGGACATTTTGAAGGTCGATGATTGTGCTTCTTGGTATTCAAGTGGAACTTGCACTGCGCTGCTACATTAGATACAGCCTTGGCAAAAATACACCATGTGATTGGGATAGGTATGGGCCCCCATACCTTGAGCAGCTTGTCTCAATCGAGTGTTGAATAGGTAGGTAGTCGATGTAAGTAATAGTGAAATGTTGCTTGTTTGATGAGGTTTAAAGTTCAGTATCGAGGTGAGACGGCGGCCATCGCGCCTTTATACACATCTGGAGTGTCCATGAGGCTGGACTTCTCCCTCACCCCTCCAGGACGTACCGACGCACCTCGATATGCATTGCCAGATTGGGATGCGCTACTGCGCTAGAACACATCCTCGCTTGCAGCTCGGTCCCGCGCTGTCGTGCTCGTAAGCTTGGCTTCTCCCCCTCGCGCAATTGCTTCATTTGAATTTGTACTTTGGACATGTATATCTGTATGTACATCTACATAGTCATCATCCGTCCCTATTACCTACTTACCTACCTACCTAGGTGTCTAGAGTACGTCGTATCTTCTCCAAGCGCCTAGATCTAGGTACTTCGCAGGAGATGTTCTGCCATTCAATCAATGCAGCTGATCATTCTATCAGTCCAGACTATAGAGAATCTTTACACACACAACTACAATATGGCGTCACGTTCGCCTACACGTACAGACCGATCACATGCCTCATTCGTAAGGAAGATCCACGAGCTTTGGAAGTGGAGTGGAGTAGCTACCTATCACGTATGCTCCTTTCCTTCAGGCCAGCCGGCAGATCTGTCAATGTCATGGGCCCTTCCCCGCTCAGATGCAAGCTTAGCAAGCCTACTATAACCCGAGCTTCCGACCCCACAAAGAGTCCACGAGCTTCCAATCTCCAGAACGCGAAAGCGCGAGACGTCACATCTGTCCCGAATGCCGTACCAACGCGATTAGGAATGTTCAGAGGCGGACACCACTTCAATGTGAATCTACCTCAGATCAAGACTCTTGCGGGTTGGACTTAAGTGGACCTACCGCGCGGAATCCTCGAGGAGGGGGGTTCACTCTGTCTTACACTAGCATAACTGGAAAGCATTTGTAAGGGTGCGGACGAATGGCAGCTCGGATTTCCGTCCATGACTGCAGGCGCGAGCGCCACGTTTACTGCCTAGACAGTTCTCTCGAATTTGATGAAATCTCTTCACTCTGCCCAGTCACTAAGAATCTTGGGTCAATCCGCAGAACGTCAGTATTATCATGACCGGTTACGAGCCACCACCCAGCTCTCGCGGTTAGGACAAGCTGGAAAGACAAAAAGCCAGATATAACCCGGCAACGTCAGCGCCAAGTCGGTCGTTGAGCGCTTTTCGCCCCGAGAGGTTGTTACGTTGGTAAGCCAAAGGGCTTGTGTAACGTCGCCAGTCGCACCCAATCATACTATTATGTTGTCTTCACTCAAGTGAGTCACAGGAATGGGAACAGAACTCTGGTCGATCTATCACGTGAGTCAGACATTGTACAGTGCTGCGAACAGGTTTTCAGAAATTTCGCATCAATTGACTGCTTCTCTATACTTCAGAGAAGAAAACTCCGTCCGCCTCTGGACCCCTGTAAAAAAAATCATCATCAAAGAGGCGCACTTTTCTGGGGCCGGGTATATTCTGTCTTCGACGCCTGAGAGGTATGCTGGTTTTGCAAGACCCCGAACTACCCGGAGCGAGGCATGACTGGCATCCTCTTGTATCAAAAGAGTAAAAAGAATCGGAAAAGTCGTGATCGCGTCATCGAATGCCGTGGATACAATGCAAGAAGCTCGCTTGACACGGTCAAGGAAATGGTGAATGGAGAATTTGCGAATGCCTTTCCATCACAGATATGCAATAATGGTGCATCCCAAATCCCAAAATTGTCTTTTTTTCCGAAATGCTTAGGAAGAAAGAGCAAACAAGCTGACCCTGTTGGTTTTCCCACCGGTGCTGGCGGCCGAAAAGGAATCGGCTGAGAGCCAGCTGTCAACTTGCGAGCGAGAGAGGCCAGTGGAGAAGTCGACGTTGTCGCTGAGAACCTTGACAGAGACTTGGCCTGAGCCACCATCGAGGACGACGGCGACCTTGATGGGCTTGCCAGTAGGACGGTCAAAGTAATCGGAAGAACCTCCAGGAACGTTGGAGTGGAAGGTGGACTTGCACTTGGTATCGCCAGGGGCAAGGACCTCGAGGATGTCGAGCTCACCGCAGTCAGGCCAGCAGGAGCACTTGTTGTACTGGGCAGTGCGAGGGATGCGAGCGTTGAGGAACCAGAGCGCGGACATGTCTGCGTTGAAACCCGATGTACCGTCAAGGGGCATGTTGAGCTCGAAGAGCCAAACAGAGTCCTCACCCTTGAAGCCGTCTACAGAATTGTTAGTTCAGTAATGTATAGGTATGTATCAAGGATATGGCTTACGGTAAGCAACTGAACCAGGACGCGAGTAGCCGCAGCCTCCGTCGTCGCAAGACTTGTCACTGGCAATAAGGAACTCCTGGTTGGACTTGAGGGTGACCGGGTTCAGGACCTGAGGGGAGGCGGCACCACCGGTAGCATCAGAGTTCAGGTACGACAGAGAGTTGCCAAAGACGCTGTTTCTAGTCAGAATTCGCCCGGGAATTTGAGCTTGGTACTTACTTGTCAAACTTGCCGGAGCCCTGGCCACCGTAGTTGCCGAGAAAGACGATGCCATCAGCAACAGCCTTGTCAGCGTTGTAGTAGCCAACGCGGGTGTAATCGCCAGTGGCGGTGCCCGAGCTGGAGCCGGCAGCCTTGGAGTTACTAGCAGGCTTAGGGATAGCCGCAGCAGCAACAGCAGGCTTAGACGGAGCGGGGGTAGGGCTTGGGGCCGCAACAGGCGGGGCGATGGGAGCGATGGCAGGAGGGGCAGGAGGGGCAGCCTCAGGGGTAGGGCCATGGTAGGTGTTGATCCAAGACTGGACAATGCCGTCAATGGTCGCGGTGACCCAGACGTCGCCACGCTTCTCCTCGTTGTGCTCATGCTCAGCATGCTTCTTGTGCAAGTGCTGGTGGCCATGGTGGCCGTGACGGCGGGCATGGCTGTGAGAAACAGCAGGAGACCGCTTGGCCTTGGGAGACAGGTTGTAGATGGCTACCTGCTTGAGGTTCATAGGACCACGAAAGACGGGGACAAGCTATGCTCATATTAGTACACGTGTGATATGCTCGAGCCACTTGAATTAGAATTTAAATGAAGAACAATGAAAACTCACTTCTTCGTTGAAAGGGGCCAGGGGACCAGAGAAGGGGACATCCTCAAAGGAGCAGGATCCGTCATCGGCCATGTTGCTCACAGCCTTGTAAGTGCCTGGGTGGCCGACGTTAGAGTACAGGATCTGGTCGACAGCACCGCACCACCAGTTGCCACCCTCGTTCTTAGCAACGCCGGAGCACTGTTGAATGGCCTGGCCAACAGCGGCTGAAGCCAGCATGACGACAGTGGAAGACTTCATGCTGTTCTAGTGTGGGTTGCACAGAGCTTTCTTGGAATAAAAGTTAAAGTATCGATATTTCTGAGAGATCTGCGTGAGTTTCCTCGAGTATTTGACCCGCCTTAAAGAGAGTTGTGGGTGGCTGGTAGAAAGGATGCTGGAATGGTTGAACGAGGTAAAGATATGGTCCAGATTGTTCTTTGACTCGGCTTGCGAGGTGTGACTGGGAATAGTCAGAATGGTAAGATACTGTCTTGAACCCTGTTCAACGGTGTGGCGTCTCTGAATCAACGTGGTGTGATGTGCTAAAGGGAGACCAAGTGTCGAGTGTGTGAATAATGAATGACTGGAGACGGTGAGTCTCGTGTAAGGAGTGACGATGCTATTCGGAATCCGGCAGGAAGGAGTTGTGTATCGACACTTGATCTTGGAGAGTGGGAGAAGGGAAGGGGAGGTAGAAGGGAAGGTAGGTAAAAGGTGTGCGAGGTCTACGTTAATAATAAATCGACCAAAATACACTAGACGGGGAGATAGAAAGAAGCGCATATTGGTGAGGTGAACTTCAGCTGGGATCCAACATGGTGGTGGACTTTGGACCCTGGCAGGGACGGGCCAGGAACGGGCAGGAGCCAGCAGGGGGGGGTCCAGTCACTCCTTCCCTGGAATTTGAAGGTGAATACAATACAGCAGACTCTTTGATGCATGGCCATTGATATTCACACGCCACCGCCTCCTTCCTTCTTTGCCATTCTGCGTGTGGAAGTGAATTGTGTGAGTGGGCTCCTCTCTATGCGGAAAGAAGAGCGCAGCAGGCCAAGAGAAAGAAAGAAAAAGACGTTGGATAATTGGACGAACTGAGGAAACCCAACTGAGCCAGCCGACCAATCCAGTCGTAGGGTTCATGAAACACTGGCTCGGCCGTGCTAGGGGGGCTGTACCTTGCAGCTAGAGCTACCTATTCACAGGGGGGTCGCCCTTCCTTGGCCGACCTTGGGCTCAACAGCCGCGAGTGTACCTACATCTCGACCTTCCTCTTCTCCTCCTTGCCGACCGAAAAGCCGGCACTCTCACCTCACTACGGATGCTCTACTCTGTACGGCGTGCTCCCACCGTAAACGCCAAGTGCCAAGATAGCCCGTTTCGCTCTGCTTATTGAGGCCTTGGCAGAGACAACCAACCATCACCTGGCACGCAGAGCTGGGCTTTCTCGGCGTTCTGGGCTCCAATCTTCAGCCAAATTTGCTATTCAAGGGCAACCACGGCGCCGACTGGCGCTCATATCCCAACACGATAACGGCACAAAGGCACGAACCTAGTCTGGCCAGAACGTGACAGAGCCAGCCCGTTCGAGATAGTAGATCAGCAGACCACGATGAAGAAACCACCCGCTTAGATTCGTCCGCCATTGAGTGGCCAGTGCTGACTGAGTAGCACTCACTGACCAGATGATAGCCTCCGCAATCCTCATGCGTGATTGTGGCTGGAACTTGGTTTGGTTCCCTGGGAAATCCTCCCTGCTATTCATCACGTCCATCCCCTAGCTGCGCAAAGAACCTTAAACTAGGTAAATCTACAGTTACGGAGTAGGTCCATATTAGCTACCTATTATCAGCTAACTGCAATCGACAGTCTGGCACCTTGTCCTGCCAATCCGTTTCAGGCTATCCAAGGATTACAACACCCGCAAAGAGCCCTGCCATCGCCTCTGCCAGTAATAACACCGGCGTTGCTGGTCGACTGGCCCGTGACAGAATCAAGCTTACCTTACCGTCGCCCCCCCCTCCCCCTACGGTGTATCCTGATTCCTGACTTGGGTAGACATCTCGAACCCTCTCGCCGTCCCAATCACCACGCTCATCCAATACGAACGGACGGCCCATTTCATCCGATGGTTAATCACGCATCACACCGCTCGGCAGGTGACATCCCAACATCGCGTCCCAGCCCATGTTTCCACACCGCGGAAGAACGGGATGACCCTCTCTTTCAACTTTGACACTACTTTGCCTCCACCCCTCCATTCTGGAGCCCGCCCAGCAGCCTGCAGAAAATGCCGGCGATCACTCCTCTCATTTGGAGAAACCCGCAGTTCGGGAGTCCTAGCTCTGTTAGGCCGTTTGTTCTTTCTCTTCTCTGTGATGAATGGCCCCATGGCCAACTGATTCGCAACCCGGTCTTCGCGGTCGGCACAAAAGCAAGAAAGCCTGGCACGATAACCTGTGGGACAATGAGGAGATTTTCCGACGAGATGAAAAAATATTAAAAGTTCAAAACGCAGGAAAACCGCTCATGTATCCCCCACCGCCGACCCCCTCTTTGCCAGTCGTTGTGCCACATGGCAGCGATCTGGTATTGGTTCTTTCGACGACCACCGTCCACGCTGACGTCGTTGATCCGCAGACCCAGCCATACTACTAGGACGCGGGTAATATGCTGTGGCAGGGCAGAAGTTACAGCGGAACGCCCCAAACCACGAGCGTATCGGAAGAAGACAAGGTCACCCATCACTCAACAAGAATAAGCAAGTCGAAGCTGTCTGAGATGAAATGAAAGGTTACGCCAACGACTGACGAGAGATGGACAAGAATCATTGCCATCAGTCCACGACATCTTGCGTTCGCTGTTCCTGCATTAGCAGAACCGCTTAACCTGGTGCCTCGATTGGCTGCCCTGGACCTACGTCTGCATCTGCCGTGGTGCACTCCATCTATCCTAGCTGTGGCGAATCCTCATTCGACGGCATCGCACACTGTCACTATCCACTTTTTGATTAGGTAGTCTGCAGCCGCCTGTCTGTCACAGTCGGCGAAGCGGGTCAGAGCGCATCACATTTGGTTGGATATGCCACCACGCTGTCCAATCCTCCGCTTAGCCATTAATGAGTCAATCCTTCGATGCCGGCCGAGGTCAATTCACATACCCTCGCCCGCGATGATTACTATCAAAGCACTGATAACGACATGTTGGTCTCTTGATTTTGATTGAACTGGTTGTCCACCCATCCGACTCTTGTCTCTCCCCGCCTACAGCGACCTCGTACGGCATTTCTGCGGTGTAAAACTCCAACCACAAGTGAAAAAAACCGAGCTTTCGCCTCCCCCGAAGTCTCACTCTCTCTTGAACACACACGCACACACGGGAGGACCCGCCACGTGGGACTCCCCAAAGATTTTCCCTCCCCTCCCGTCCGATTGTTGTCAAGAACCGATTTTTTCTTGGCTATCATACGTGCCCGCCTGGGAATGGAACAACGTCGTACGGTAGCTACCCGATAATCGCTCTGGAAAAGCGGACTGGCGAACGCTTGTACACATCTGGTTCAGCCCTAGCCCGCCACTTAATTCGACGACCCTGCTGCAGCCTGCAAGATCAAGCCTCGAAGAGCGACAACGGTCTTGTATCCGGACCTACATGTAGGAATCCGCTCGCCCTCCTCTCGATCAGATCTCGGACAAGTGCCGCCGACCGCATGTGACTCATCCGGTTCTAGAATTTGTCTTTGTGGATTCATGCGTTTTTTTCTTCTCTTCTGTCCTCCCGCGCGGGGGGTGGTCCTTGACCCCAAGTGATCGCCACATCAGGATCGCAATAGGGCTGTGAGCTCAGGAACCAGTCAGAGAAGATAAGATGCCGTTTACGAACTCACCTCGTTACTATAGGCCAGCAGGTAGCATAGGCTATGGGGCACAACCCCGTCGATGGCATCGACGAAAAACCCATCAGCAGACTCTAGCAGTCAAGACGTCAACTCGCCATATGTGGAGGGAAATGCATCATAGGCAAAGGTTTCCATGTCATGGCATCATTCATTTCGCATCTACTTAGATGCCTTGGCCTTCTTCCCCCGACGGGCTCTCGTTTGGGTACCCTGTTCCGACCGCTCCTCCTCGGCGTCATCAACAAACTCATCCTCCTCCTCCTCCACTGCCGCAGTCCTCGCCCTGGTCTTTCTTTTCCTCGTAACCTTGGCTGATGCCGACACATCCTCCAGCCCCGCAACAGTCGTTTGCTCGCCGTTGGTATTGGCCCTTAGCCTACTGACGGCGTCCGCCATCCTCTTGCTCGTCGCGCCCTTCTGCCTCGGCGCAAAGGCGTCTCTCGCGCCAACACCTACAGTGCCTTCAAAGTACCTCGTGATGTTCGTCTGCGTGCCCTCCATGTCGCGCTTGTTCATATCCCGGATGACGGGAACCAGCACCTCGTCGGTGCGCTCCTTGCTCCACCCGATGGTCGCCATGAGAAACTGCCGCAGACCCTCGAGGTCCGGCACGCCCCACTGGAAGTGCTCAGGGCTGCTGTCGACCTCCGGGCGTATGTACGCGTCCGTGACGGCAGGGTTCGGGAATCCCGACGGAAGAAAAAGCTTTGTGGCTTGTGACTTGCGGAACTTGCGGCGGAAAGGGGACACCGCGTCGGCCTCCTTGGGGCGATTGTTCATCTGCACGTCCTGCCACCACTCCTTGAACCTGTCGAGGCCATCCTTGCCGGGAAACTCTGAGAGAATCTCTACGGCCGTGACAGGACCCACGCCGGGTAGGCCCTCTGTATAATCCGACCCCAGGAGCTGAGCAATGGCAATGAGTTGTTCGCGCGACAAGGAGAGCTCCTTCTCGAGGTCCGAGCTGAGATAGCACTCGACAAATTTGTTGCTGTTGAACATGTTTTTGTAGATACGCGTGCCGCCAAACAGGAAACAATCGGAGTCGTCGGTGACAATGCCGTCCACCAAGCCCAGTTGCACGAGCTCCGCACACTGAGCTTCGGCCTCCATTGGCGCTGTGATGTAGGGGATGCCAAAGAGACGGAGCAGGGCCTGGCACTCGGTGACCATGACCTGTGTGACCTCATCGGCGTCTCGACGATCCTTTTTCTGTTGCGTGCGGAGCGCCTTCAATTCCCTCTCATAAGCCTCTTTGTTCTCGTACTCCGACTTGTTGTTCAACTCGCTGGCGAAACGGGCGTGTTCCTCTGCTTCCTGGGCCAGGTTGGCGAACAGCTCCTCGTCCTCTGGGTCGCTGAACTCGTCGTCACTCTCGGCGAAGACGGCAGCCTCGGCATCCTGCACGGGGTCGCCCACCGTGTTGGGATTGTCCGATTGGGGCCCGCCCATGAGTTCTTCGAAGGTGAGCTCTTGTTCTTCTTGAGCAAGCTTTGTTTGTTCTGCATCGATAGACGCGTCCTGCATCGCCAGGTCTGGAGAGTCGGGCTTTTGTTGCTCGGCATCGACTGTGATATCTTCCATTTCTGGTTCCGGGGAGTCGGGCACTTGCGTAATGGTAGCTCCCATATCTTCATCAGCGTTCTCTGGCCACACTTCTCCGAAGTCGGGTTCTGGCGACGGTGGCGGCTTCCGAGAAGTGGCGTCCGACTTCTCCAAAGACGCAGCTGCTGATTCTTTCTTCTCGAGTGACCCAATCTGGGCGCTCGGAGTAGCGTCGTTCGATATGGCTCCATCAGCAAAGGCAGTTTCCTCCTGAGTGGAAACCTGCTTCGGTGAAGGGGGTATCTCGAGTATTTCAATGTCGCTGCCTTCGTCATCGGACGACTGGATTTCAATGAGTTGGTTTTGCCTCTGGCGCTCGAGCCGACGCTCCTCTTCTATTGCTGCCTCCCTGTCTTCCGTATTGATCTCGCTTTCCACCTGTCGTTGTTGCTTAATCGATTCACGGATATCCGTGTTGTCCACCATCCAAGGGGGCAACGGCTTGGGTCGTTCTTCTTGCGGCCCTTTTTCGAAACCACCTTCGTCGTCGTCGTCATCGGCGGCGGCGGCGACTGGTTCCTCCACAGAATCCTCCGCTATAAAACCACCACCAAACTCGGCGTCACCGTTGTTTAACCCTGACTTCTGTGTATTTGGTGTTGGTTGCTTTGTTGTCGACGTGCCTTCAGGCTTCTTCGATGGAGCCTTCATTGAGAAGAGAGAAGACCCCCAAGCGAGCTTAGGGAACGGCAATGGACCGTCGAAAGGATTCTTGATGTTAGGCACCGCCGGCTTCGGCAGGGCTCTCTTCTTCTGCCGGGACGCCTTTAAAGCTGCTTGCAAGTCCATTTCATCGTCACTACTACTGACACTGTTAGCGCGTCTCTTCGGGACGGCTGCAGTAGACCTGTTATTGACAATGTGAGCCACCATGCGGCCGCTCGTTACAGCAATTGGCCTGGGTCCCTCGACTGCTTTCTGCTTCCAGGTTGGAGCTTCCATTTCCACGTCTTCAAACTGTTCATCCTCCTCGGAATTCTCTATATCCTTGCTGTGCTGATTTTGCAAGGACATGGCAATAGCACGATTGATATCGTCCTCTTCATCAGGGTGCGCTGCCTCATCGCCGCTGTGCTTCCTTCGATCATGTGCTTTGGGAACATCGCCGCCTACGAAGAGACTTTGTTCTTCTTCCTCTTCAAATAAGTTGTCGACCTCGACCTCGCCCTCGCCCCCTCCTTGGCTTCCGTACAGTTGTTGTCTCCGAAGCGCGACTTCCCTGGATGAAATCTTGGGCAGTCGGTTTAATCCCTCTACGGGAACGTCCTCGAAGTCGCCCTCGTCGGACTCCTCGACCTTGTCCTTTTGCTGAAACTGAAAGTCTAGAGCATCGACATCGATAGGCTTATGGGCCTCGCCCAAGTCCTTCTCTTTGCTCACGACACCCAGCGCCCAGCCGCCCTCTGCTCCGTCATTCTTTACAAGTATGTACTCTCTGTCTCTCTCACCGGCGATCCTTCCGCCGCCCGTCAAAGTGAGATCGAGACCTGTCATGCCAGCTTCTTTCATGAGGCGCTGAGTCAGATTGTTCCGCTCACGGACTCTTTCGATTTGAAACCTCGAGAATGCCATACGGTCCGGGAACATGTCGTCCAGCTGTTCTTTGCTCAACCCCATTCTGAGACGACTCCTCAATCTGGCTGCATTTAGGATGTTGTACCTGTCCGCCGCGGGCAGACTTTGGAAGAACTCGCCGTCGAAGTCGATCTTGCTAAAATCGTAGAGATTGATATCCTCTCCGTTGTGAAATTGCCGCGCATATTCCTCTAGCTCTTCGATGCTCATGACCCTGGGATCGTCTGCTTTGGCCATTGAAGCAATGTCCCCGTCGAGTTCGGGCAGATGGTACGCGTCTTGTTTGAAGAACTTCCTCGTTTGCTGTCGCTCCTGCCGGGACATGCCGACTTCATCAACGTAGACGATGTTGTCCGCATCGGGTATCTCCTCCTGGGGCTCCTCTCGTTCTCTTTGAATGCCCCTGTCCGCATCGCGTTTCCTTCTCTCCCCTTCCTCTTCTGCGATGCGCTGCATCTGTACAGCCAACAGCTTCCCGGCAGTGCGAACAGCATCCTCTCTGCGGCCTTCGCGGCGCTGCTTACGACCCTGGATCGTCTGGCGCTTGAGGGCCGGAGCGCCACCATCGAATACGAAGACGGGCTTGATACCAAACCAAAGGAGCTTGCAGATGCGACGGAAGAAGCCGACGACGTGAGAGTTCCGCAGCGCATTGCCCTCCTTGTCGCGAACCGCCTTGAGAAATTGGTATATCCAGATGGAGGCATCGACAGCAAGGCGCTTTCGGTTGAGGGTTGCGAGGTTCGTCGGGCGCGCGCAAGGCTGCACAACTGTCCAGAGACCGTTCACACCCATTGCTGTGAGGGGATGGCGGTGTCGGATCGGTATTCACAGAGGGGTTTGCTCGATGGGATGATAGTTGCTGCAAGAAGCGTTCTTCTCATCTAAAAATTAGGTAATCTCATTGTAAGTAATAGTTACGATTGCTCGGATTACTTCCAAACGAGCGTATGTCAAGCAATTAAACCCCTGAGGACGTGATAACTATTGTGAAGAACGTAGGCAGCTGTGGCTGCCTGCAGGCCATTCACAAAGAGCTCTGGTCAATGACGCGCCTGTCTCCACCGAGGGATCAGACAAGCTAATAATGCCCCCCCCCCTAACAACCCGAGAGTACCGTGCACAATAACTAATAGGGGTCCGTGCAGAGTTAAGCTGACAATGGATATCCGTATAGTTATAGCTAATAGATAAGGGTATAGATAGAGGGAAAAAGTGGAAACAGAGGCAAAAAACAGAGGTAAAAAACAGGGATATAAAAAGGGATAGTCTTAGCCTATCCTAACGAGCGATCAGACAAGCTGATAATGCCCCCCCCTTAACAACCCGAGAGTACCGTGCGCGCTAGCCTGTGCAGGCTTAAGCTGACAATGGATACAGTTATAGCCAATAGATAAGGGTATAGATAGAGGGAAAAAGTAGAAATAGAGGTAAAAAAACAGGGGCAACAGAGGGAAAAAGTAGAAATAGAGGCAAAAAAATAGAGGTAATAGAGGTAACAGAGGGAAAAAACAGAGGGAAAAAACAGAGGGAAAAAACAGAGGGAAAAAACAGAGGGAAAAAACAGAGGGAAAAAACAGGGAAAAAAGGGATAGTCTTGGCCTATCCCAACCTAGAGCGCAGCAGAGGAAGCAGGGTAAGATAGACTATTCTAACCCTCCCTAGTAGAGCCGTTTTAAAATTACCTAAAGAAAAAGTTAGAAAAAGTCAGAAAAAGCTAGGATTAAACCTATAGCCTTTAGATTGTTAGGAGCATTACTTACTACTAGACTATATAGAGCAAGAAGAATAAAATTTCTTATTTTTCTTAGACCTATAGACCTTTATAACGTATATATATATATCTATTAGTTAGAGCCTTATTACTTACTCTACTGTTAGCTTAACTATATATAGGCTAGTGCGTATAGTACTCTTAGGTTATTAAGGGGGGGGTATTATTAGCTTATCTATAGACTTTATCTTAACCTAGAGTATAGTAGAGTAAGATAGACTATTCTAACCCTCTCTAGTAGAGCTGTTTTAAAATTACTTAAAAAAAAAAAGTTAGAAAAAAATAAAAAAAAGCTAGGATTAAACCTATAGCCTTTAGATTATTAGGAGTACTACTTATAGAGAGTTAAAAAAATATAATATAAATAAAATATAATATAAATATATATATTTATATTTTTTTCTAATATAATATAATATATATATTTATATTTATATTTTTTACTTTATATAATATAATATAAATATAAGTACATGTATTATATTATATATTTAATATAAAAATATAAAAATAGAATATAAAATTATTAATTCCTTTATATATTAATATATACTATAATTAAGTAAGATATAAAAGTATAGTAGTATAACCTTATTAATATTATTATATATATTAGTTAATAATACTAAGACTTTTAACTTTATTACTATAAAAATTACTTAAAAGAATATTAATAATATAATATTCCTTTACTTCTTTAATATTATAATTTAATATAATATTTATATTACTTTCTTTTTATATATAATAGCTAAAGTAAATACTATACTCTATAGTGTTACTAATAGTGTTTTATAACCTAGTAAGTTAGTAATAGTAATAAATTAAAGATTAAAATAAAAAATAACTTACTTTAAAGTCTTTAAAGGTACTATTATTATTATTATTAATAATCTTATTATTATTAATAATCTTATTATTATTAATAATCTTATTATTATTAATAATCTTATTATTATAGGTCTTATATAATAATAGCTTTAAGGTATTAGTAACTATAGTATCTTTATTATTTATAATAATATTATATAATATACTATAAGAGTTAAATACTTCTTAAGTATTATAATTTTACTTTTCTTATAATTATTATTATCTACGTTTTATATTTTCTAAGTTATTTAATAAACTAAGATATATAAAAGAAATAGAACTATTTAATTCTTTTATTAAGTTAACTAAATCTATAATATTAGGATTAGTAGTAGTATTAATTATAGTATCTATAGTATTATAATAGTTAACTTTTTCTTTTAGGTCTAAGTACTTCTTATACTAAAGTAGACTTAAAGATATAGTAAAATCTATTTAAAAACGTATTATTTATTAGTAATTTATATAATATAATATTAGTAGTTATATATTAATACTATTAAAAAGTAGAGATTTAAATAATATTAATATATTAGTAAAGTAAATACTTACTTTAATAGAAATAAGTTTTATTAGATAAAGTATATACTACTAGCTTAGAAATAATAAAGTATTTAAATATTATACTTATAGTCTAAAGTAATAAAGTAAGTTATATAATAATAACTTAAATATAGTATAGTAATAACTAATAAGACTTAAATAGAGGTTAAGTTAATAAAGATTAAGAACTTAGTAAACTAAAATAACTATAAGCTATATATATAGTAATTAGTAAGTAGTTACTAGCTATATAAAGTATATTTAATATTTATAAATAATAAAAGTAAAATAAGGTTTATAATAAGAATAAACTATATAGTATATAAAGTTTTAAAGTATAATTATACCTTAATAGAAACTAATATACACTATATAACTATAAGATATAATATATATAATAAATATATTCTAGTTATAAAAAATAAAGATAACATAAGTATAGATTATAACTATAAAGTATAATATAAAAAAAGAGTTCTTAATAAGTATAAATATAAAGTAGAAATTAAATAATTATAGATTAAATATATATTAAATACTATAATAAGATAAAAGGTTATAATACCTAAAGTATAGAGCTTATATATATTAGGTAACTAGTTTTAATACTACTATATATTATAATATAAAATAATATTAATAGGATAATATATATAATATATTATATAATATATAAAAAGAAAGAAATTAGAAAGTTTTTAAATTTTATAAGTCTTATAAGTATAAAAGGTTACCTAGTTAGGTGATTAGTAGGGCTAGTAGTTTACTTACTTAAATAAAAGAGTAATTTAAAAGTAAACATTTTAGTTTTATTTTCTATTAAGCTTAACCTTAATAATATAAGATATATTTTATATATTTCTTTATACTTCTCTATATATATTATACTATATAATACTTTAAATACTATAATACTTAATCTCTAAGATATTATAAAACTACTACTTTAATATATAGAATATAATATAATACTTACTAACTATTATATATATAAATTCTATAGACTAGTAGAATAGTAATATAAAGAAATTACTTATATTATTTATATTAGCTAGTTAATACTTAGCTATACCTTCTACTCTTATTATAGTAAAAAGTAGCTTTAATTAATTTAGTAATATTAATACTAAAAGAAGAACTAATTTGTTTAATACTACTAGAAAAAGATTAATACTTATAAAGAAATAGTAAGAATCTAGTAGTTTAGATAATCTAGATAGTATATTTAATACTCTTAATAAGTTAATATATATAATAATCTCTTAAATATAAGATTTAAATACTTTTTTTAAAATAAGAAATTAGTAGTATAAAGAAAAAACATAATTAGAAAATTCAGAATATAAAAAGAATTTAAGTACTAAGTTATATATATTTATATTAAGTTATTATTAGCTAAATATACTTAAATAGTCTTTATTAATTAAAAAAGATCTTAATATATAATAAGAAGTTTATTATTACTTAAATACTAATCTTATCTTACTTATATAGTTTAAAGTAAAGCTTTACTATATAAAATATTTAAATTATATATAGATTAAATAGTTATATAATACCTAAATAAAAGTACTTAAATAGAGTTTATTACTTTTATATTTAATAATACTAATAATCTTTACTTATTTCTTATTAAATATTTATATATATTTTTTATAGTATTTATAATTAGAATATATAGTATTACTAAGTATAATAAAGTCCTAAAAGTATAATTATACTATAAAATACTAATATTTATTTTATATCTTGTATTGTTATATTAAATACAAGATATAATATAAAATATAATATAATATAATATAAATACATGTATTTTTTTCTTAATACAATATAATATAAATATATATATTATATTTATATTATATTATATTATATTTATATTATATTTTTATATTATATTGTATTTTATATTTTTCTTTAACTCTCTAACTACTTACTACTAGACTATATAAAGTAAGAAAAATAAAAATTCATTTTTAATTTAAGACTATAAAGTATTAATATATATATATATATTTATTAGCTAGAACCTTATTACTTACTTTACTATTAGCTTAACTTTATATAGGCCCTTATTAGTTATTATATATAGTTCTCTTAAGTTATTAAGGGGAGAGGTATTATTAGCTTATCTAATTACTTTCTTTACTAAGTAATTAAATAAGCTAATAATACCTCCTCCTTAATAACCTAAGAGTACTATATATACTAGCCTATATATAGTTAAGCTAATAGTAGATATAGTTTTAGCTAATAAATAAAGGTATAAATAAAAAGAAAAAGTAAAAATAGAGGCTAAAAAATAAAGGTAATAAAAAAAAAGTAAAAATAAAGGTAAAAAAATAAAGGTAATAAAGGTAACAGAGGGAAAAAAATAGAGGAAAAAAACAGAGGGAAAAAAAGGATAGTCTTAGCCTATCCTAACCTAGAGCGTAGTAAAAGAAGTAAGGTAGGATAGACTATTCTAACCCTCCCTAGCAGAGCTGTTTTAGAATTACCTAAAGAAAAAGTCAGAAAAAGTTAGAAAAAGCTAGAATTAAACCTATAGCCTTTAGATTATTAGGAGCACTACTTACTACTAGACTATATAAAGCAAGAAGAACAAAAATTCTTGTTTAATTTAGAACTATAGACCTTTATGACGTGTGTATACGTATCTATTAGTTAGAGCCTTATTACCTACTCTACTCTTAGCTTAACTGTGCACAGGCTAGCGCGCACAGTACTCTCAGGTTGTTAAGGGGGGGGTATTATTAGCTTGTCTGTAGACTCCTCTCCACCAGAGGCGTCGTTATTGTGCCTTATTGCTTATTGGCTGGGGGACGTGCGAGAGCGATGGGCGCACAAGCCTTTGCCGCCGACAACCACTGTTAGCGAAGCGCATCAGCGCGCTCTTCCTACAAACCACTCAACGACACTAACAGAGCGATGCCCACCATCGCTGTCAAGAGGTCGCCATGGACAAAGACGAGGGAAGAAACTTCTTGACCTCGCTTCTCAACAAGAATCTGCGCATCTTTGCCACTGACGGCCGCATGTTTCTGGGCCAGTTCAAGTGCACAGACCCAGTAGGTACCCCCTCCGCCGTCCTCTCTTTCAAGAACGCCTTGCTGACATCTCAACTCTTGACAGGACCGAAATGTTGTCTTAGCACATACCTACGAGTACCGCCAGCCGTCGGCGCAGCGGCGGGCCGAAGCAGCCCAAAAGGCGGCTGAGAGAACAGGCACCGTCTCGATGGACATGACATCCCGATACCTGGGGCTGGTGGTCGTCCCTGGACAGTATATAGTCAAGATCGAGGTTGAGGAATTCACAAGCCAAATCAAGGGCCAGAATCCATATTCAGATGTCGTTGTCTAAGTAGCAGATAGCATTGGCTTCAGGGATGATGTGTGGAGTCCCGCAGATCCTACAATACTGGGCAAGAGATCAGAAGCCCAAGGACATGGTCGCAAGTTACACGCCTTCGGATGGCGTAATAACTGAACATTGAAACTACACAGAAACTGTTTTAACCGTGACAACCCCCCCTGCCTGCCTTTGTCATTGCGAGCCGTCTTCGACCGAATTACCGAGGCACCGATCCCCAAACACCAGAACCGAGCAACCCTTACCATTGTTAACGTACGAACATTACTGCCATTACGAGCCATGTGCTCAAAGTCGTGCAAGGGCAACATGAATGCGGGAAACACAAATCCAAGGTTAATGTATCCTGTTTTTATGCAACAATGTTCTCGTGTTGACGGCCTCTGGTTTCACCGTTCAATCCATCGTCCGTACCGGTTGCGGAGTGGTGGATGTCATCTTCTTCCTCTTCCTCATCCGTGTACTCTGTCTCCTTGTTGTGTGCTCGGGTCCACGAGGAGTCGTCGTTCAACGGCACATCCTGTCCAGAGAGGTCGTGGCCTCCCTCAACACGCGTCCTAATATTGTTCCTACGGCGCATTGACAGGGTGCGTGCACGGGTCGACAGCTTAGATGAGACGGCGGCCTGAGACGTGACCCAGTTGGTAAGAGCATCTTCGCAGTCCTGGATGATGGCTTTGCTGGCTTCATAACCATCATAGGCTGCACGGGTTTCGCCAGGAGTGACGGGCGTGTCATCAATGAGCTCGAGAAGATGCTTCCCGTACCCGGCAATGATGGCGACCTTCTCACAGTGTTCTCTCAAAGCATCGAATTGGTAGGTGTACGCAGCCTTGATCTTTTCGCGCGTGATGTTGGACAGCTGGGCTTCCGCAACCAGTGACTCGGCTTCAGCGCGAACCAGTTCCTGTTCGAGAACAACAATCTTGGGGGAATTGGGTTCCTTGTACTTAAGCTGGGCAATCTGGTCGGTGATCTTTTGTTTACCTACGGACGACAAAGTCAGCAAGGAGCAGTGTATAGTCACATATGGAGTCTGGCTCACGGTCTCGGCTTGGCTGCACCGAAGCCTCAATGTTGCGGATACTCTTGATCGTCACACGGTACTGATCATATCGGTCGACGTATTGGTCTTCAAGTTCGCCGATCTCGTAAAGCAAAACGCCAAGCTTGTCGGTGACATCGGAAACATCCTCGTCACAGGCTTCGCCCCAGATTGAAAGTTGTTGCTGCACATGAAAGAATCAGGATATGTTTACGAAACTGGCAGCAAGTTAGGCAACTCACAGCGACCTCCATACGCTCTCTGGCTACTTGTTCGAGACTGCGCATGACATTCTTCTCCATCTTTACCAACTGTGACAACTTCTTGGCGAGGTCTGGCCCGAAAGCGCCTGCAGACCTGTGGCGGAGGGCATGGCCTATGCAAACATATCAGTCAATGGAAACCACTTGTTCAAGCTGCGCGTCGTAGAATGGGGAAGATGGCGGCACAAGGAATACGAATAGGGCGACATACCAAAGCCACCACGAAACAGGCGGCCAGACTTGGTTGAGGAAGTAGGCGGAGGAGGGTTCTAGAAACAAAGTCAGCATCATGCCGGATAGTCTCAGCGGAGAACCACTGTCTATGTTTCCGCGGCGCATACCTGTAGTTGGGAGGCGGTAGGCGCCCGTGTCTGGCGCATGGAGTATGTGCGATGCATGTTATTGGCGTTTACGGCGTAGTGAAGCGGCGACTGCAGTATGGCACGGTATCGAGAAGATGCAAGCGTCGATACAGTAACACGCTTGGAGGTAGGGTATCGCGGGTTGTGACAAGGAGTATGGGTGGGAGAAGTTCAAGTGAGGGTCGGGAGACAAACCTTGGGGTGATGCGAAGCCGGGTGTTTATATGTAGGGCATGAAAAAGGGTCCAACTAGGTGTGGTCTGCGTCGGCGTCGGCGTCTATGCTGGTGGATGTTGCGGAGGTGACGGGGACTTTGACGAGCGGGAGTTGGGCTGGAAGGACGGGACGAAGCAGCGCAAGGGTGGGAGGTGACGGCTGGCCTGCTGTCCCCAACTGGTCCAGTAGTCTCCCTCTCGTGTGCCTCTTTCATGCTGACGACGTCATCGGTGCTATTAGCTCGTCTTTTTTGGCGTTGTTCGCAGCGTCACCTAGGTACCTAGCTAACCTGGTGCCTACCGCAAAACACGGTACACGGAAAGGTACAAGGACCTTGCTCCACACCCAAAGTACTCTTTGCGCTGTTCATGGCTGGTTCCGTCGTCAGGAGCTACAGCACCAAAGCTTTGACCGTGGTCACTCACTCCCGCCCTTTCCTGGGCCAGCCTTAGCCCGATACGGTCTGTCGACCTGACGAACCTTGCTTGGCCAGCCCGTGGTCGATGGCGCGGGAAGATGGAGAGCACCGCTGCGCCGCACCGCATATATCTGGGGCAAAGGGCAAAGGCTCTCACATACAACCGAATCCCCTCGCACAGCTACGATGATCGCCATCCGGGATAGCGCCGTCTTTTCGAACCCTTTGCCCAATGCGGGTTCATGAAACAAACGGCTGGGGAACCGAGGAGCTGTTTGGGACCAATATGGGATGAGAAACACAGCAAGCTTTCGACGCAGGCTGCAGGTTCCGACGGGGACACTCAACTACTTACATAGCTCTCGCAAGAGGGTCGGTCCATCTCACTCATCCTTTCACGTTTTTGGACTGCCGTTTGCGCCTAACAAACCTCGGTGCAGAGACGTCCCCTACGATTCCATGTTCGCTTCGCAATACCCTATGCCTAGGTTGTCACCAAGACTGGTTCAGTGCGATGGCAGACTTTGAGGATGGGTAGTCGCAGGGCGGGTGGTTTGCTTCATGGGCTGACAATCCGGCGTCTCCGGGGCATCAGTCAAATTCGACTGACTGGTCGCTTCTCTGTCTGTGGCTCCGAGGCTAGTGCGCTTGCCGCCCAGTTCTTCGTCGTCGTCTTGCACGGGCATTTGGAAGCGAAGTTGATTGTGCTGGGCCCAAGAAATGAGCGATGATTTCATAGATCTCTCCTCCAACAACTGCCAAATACTTCCTTAGCGCGGGCTTATGCCGTTGGCCTGGCCTTTCGACCCCAGCCACATGTGCCTGTGCGACGTGCTTGTCGGATCAAGACTATCCGGTCAGTTACTACTACGAGGAGCCGACTCTAGTCCAAGGCCATCATGGCGGATCATGACGCGACTCAGTCGCCATTTTTTTTAGTTGCTAGCTGAAACGCTTGCTTTTGCTTGAAATGCATTGAGCATTGCGAAAACTAACATTTGCTCACCGCACGCTGTGGTCATAAACACATTTGTCTCAACTCTACGGATACTTCGAGACTGTCATCGTTTTCAAGTGACTGAACAGCCTAGCGCACCCACTACACACACATACTCCGTGGTCATGGGCGATCCCATTCGCATTTCAACATCCAGTTTCGAACACGACCTGAGTTCAGTGTCCCTATTCATTTTGAGTGAATTTTTTCTTAGTTATGAACTTTACAGGCTAGGGTTGGAAGATCTAGTCGAGTGCTCGGTAACCAGCGACTACAAAGAAGCCCCCTAGAGTTTCTGGTTGATTGCAACGTTGAAGGGCTGATAGAGCCATGTTCCTACAGAAAGAAAGGGGAAAACACCTGTTGACTTAATGTTCAGCTGAGACGTGTCCGACGTCTCTGCACATAATCAGCGCTTGGAGACGTCGAATTGTAAGAGGGACAATGGTATCGAAAATCCGGAGTTGCTGTGCACGGTTTCCGTGACACCCATTGGAGAATTCATCTCGTGAGGAAGCGCATCTACCAAACTCGGACGTCCGGGCAGAGGACTGGAGGCAAGAGGTTGATAACAAACGAGATTGCGCGACAATGGGGATGGGAATGAGTAAGTATTTATGGAAAGATGCATCGCCTGACCTTGCAAAGAAAGAATAGCAAAGACTAGTCTGTTTAAGAACACCTTTTGACGATTTTCAGCCCGCGACAATAGGGTCCAGATGCTTGTCTGGCCGGGTTTTGTATCGGGTGGCTCGAGGTACAATCCTTGCCCCCGCTTTTTTTTTGGGGGGGGGGGGGGGGGGGGGGGGTCTAGCGCCTTGCAATCTCTCCCTCCAGCAGCTCTTTCCTTCCCTGAACGCGCTTAGTCTCGCAGTTCACCAACGCGTCTCACAATATCTCATCTTCTCTCTCATCATCAACCTCATCCCAGAGGAACGGCTTTGGTGATTACCCACACCTGTAATCATCCTCAGTCATCTCTAAGCCTCTAGAAGTCTTGCGCGCTATCGTCGTACGCCCACCGCAGCCTGGCATGGTAGTTTCCTAGCCAATGTTTACAGGCCTCACCGACGCTGACCACGGGGACGAGGACATGGTGAGCGACCGTGTCTACGTCTGTGTCTGCGCTTGCAAGTGAGGGGGACGTTGCAACCACCAGCGGCTCGGGAGGAGACCGCTACTGTTGCTACTTCCTTCGCGCCTCCCGCTCGCTTCCTTTTACTCGACATGTCTCCATTCCGCGCCGGGACCGACCGGGACGCTCCTACTCAAAGAGGCCCCTACAACGACTACGCTATTTTCCGTCCCGTCAGCGACCGGGTCTCTCCTGACGACACTCAACTCGAGCCTCATTCTCGTTCTCATAGACTGTCGGGAAAGACGATTGATGTCATCGACTTGACCATCAACTCAAGCCCGCTCTTCCGTCCACAGAGTTGTCACGATCCGGATGCCGACCGCGCGTCACTCGTTGCAGCCAAGGCTGAGGCTAGTCAACCTCATCCGGCATTCTCATTAGGCTCCGCACATTGCCTTTCGGACCCCAGTGGAGGCTCTACCGCTGTTTCCAGCAATGCAGCCTCGATTTTGGACCCTTCGCCCCCGCCTGTATCAGTTCAGCCCTCGGTCTCGTCTGTTGACCTCGACGACGGTTTGGATGCCGAGATGACTCGACCGGCGCCGTCTGAAGCCTTCCTGAAGAGCCCTCAGCAGGTGACGCCGCCGTCTTCTACGCGTCCACTAAGCCACCAGTCTCCCAAGAATAGCGCCATCTCCAAGAGGCAGACCCCAAAGAAGGAGATTCCTGATGTCAGGCAGGTTGTCACTTTGCTGAAGGGTTTCTCTGCCGATATTGGCAAGGCTCATTCGCAGCTCGCTCTTTACGCCCTCAAATCCACAAAGCCCATTGAAACACGTGTCAAGACCGGCGTTGATTTTTTTGCCAACGTCAAGCTTAACCCAGTTGAAGAAAGCGAGGGGACAACCATGTCAATCAGGACCAAGGTCAGTGTGGTCAACCTAGTTTAATTTTCACTGTCTTTGGCTCTCAATACTGACCTTGATACAGCAACATTTCCGTGGGAGGAAGTCTGACCAAGCCAAAACTGCGCATTACGTGCCGACTTGTATCAAGTCTAACAAGCCTGCCGTGCCCAAGTATCGCTTTCATCATACGGAAATTGTCAAAAACTTCCTTTCCCCCAACTCCTTGCTCAAGTTCGTGCCTGTTATTCGAGATCTTGCACCCGAGGAAGAGCGGAAGTATAACACCTGGTTAGGGGAGCTGGAGAGGATGGACGAAAGTTGCGGTTTCAAAACCCTAGGAAGTCGCGACCAACGAGTCACCCGAACTATCAAGAAGGAAAGGACTGCCACCCTGTCGCTGTTCCTAGACTCGTGGCTCAGAAAGCTTGCCATTGACAACTGCAACCGAACCACATTAATTCGCCATATGGCTAGCTCAAACCTCGACGACGCTATCACGCCGCAGCAGAAGTCGAGCCTTGTAAACCTGCACAGCGACGACAACATGGCTGCAACGCCACGAGCCCTGAAAGCGGCAAGGGTATTCACTGATGCTTTTGACCAGGTGTTCTATCACAGCGGTCCTCAGAATATGGGCATCTTGCTATCAGATGTCTTGAAGCTCGACAAGTCCGTTGATGAAATCGTCGAAACGAAGAAGACGGCCAAGGTCGGCCAGGACGACAGTGATAGGGTGGATTCTCTCGAGCACTGGATTGAAACGCATACAGTAATGGGATGCCTCATCTGCTACAGCAACTCGTGCGAGCATGGGGACTACAGTCTGGAAAACCACAAGCGCAACTTTTCCATGGACTGCATTGGAATGTATGGGCGGATGTTCTCGGCGAACCGAGTCCTGTCCTCCAATGATCCGATTGAGCATGCGCCACCTCCACTGCCGTGCAAGCGAAAGTGCTATCGGATTCTCGACAGCGGCAGTTCTGATGAAGCCCAGTCAAGGCCATGGACCGAAGACGAAACATTTCTGCTCCGCAGTCTCTACTCCATCTTGGACCACAACAAAGTCCGGGTCAAGGCACAATGCGCCACCGCGGAGATCTTGGATAGAGAATGTTGGGATGTGCATCGTCATTTGCAATCTCTCGGCATCAAGCTTCCGCCCATCACCACGATTGACCAACCAAGAGCCAAAAACCTTCCTTGGTACGATCGCAAGAAGAAGATGCTCATTGGCGACTGGCAGGACCACACCAATTCCCACGACACCAAGGTGCGCCCGTCTAACGATCCGTGCCATCACGAAGGCCCCTGCACTGCCGACAATGAGTGCCCTTGTGTCCTCAACGACATACTCTGCGAGCGCTTCTGCCGCTGTACGGAGGATTGTTGCGCGTACAAGTTCACCGGCTGCGCCTGTCACGCTAGCGGCAAGACATGCTTGCAGAAGCAAAAAGAAGGCCGGCCTTGCATTTGCGTACAACTGAACCGCGAATGTGACCCTGACCTATGTGGTACATGCGGTGCCGTAGAACGCGCAGACCCTGCGAATCGGCACGATGATGCCCTTTTTCAGACAGGCTGTCAGAACACCGCCATCCAACGGGGCGTAAGCAAAGCTGTTATCCTCGGCAAGAGTCAACTGGAAGGCTGCGGTTATGGTCTCTTCACAGTGGAAGACATTGCCCAGGACGAGTTCGTCATTGAATACACGGGCGAGCTCATCGTTGCGGATGAGGGTGTTAGGAGAGAGGCCAGGCGCGGCGAAGCTTTCTCTATAGAGAAGAGTACATCATACGTATTCAGCCTCCTGGATTACGAAGGCATCTGGGTCGACGCTGCTATTTATGGCAATCTCAGTCGCTACATCAACCACGCTGTAGAGAACGCCAATGTTCAGCCTGGCATTCTCTACGTCAATGGCGAATTTCGCATACGATTTACTGCCACACGTAATATCAAGGCCGGCGAAGAACTCTTTTTCAATTATGGCGAGAATTTCCCTAACCTAACGGAGAAAATGATCAAAGAGAAGGCCGGCGACGGAGAAGAAGTCGCGGAAGAGGGTGCGGGACCAGTCAAACGTGGACGAGGCGGCCGCCGCCGGGCAACGACCGGCACCGAGAAGCCAGCCACGCAGAGGCTCACCAAGGCGAAAATTGCAAAAAGCGTCAACACGGGAGCTCGTAAAGAGGCGCCGACGGTGGTGGTAGATGACTACGAGGCTTTGGCGGATTTCGAACCGATGCCGAGTTCGAATCGAAAGCGAAAGCGAACCGCAAAAAGCGACGATGAGGACGAAGAGTTTCACCCTTCTTTGGAATCTGAAGAGAACGGTGAGACGCGGGGCGCGGAGAAGCGTGGGTCAACATCTCGTCGACGAGGTGGGATCCGCCGCGTGAGGTCGATGGGTTCTATTATGCCATCAGACTCAGAACTAGAGGGCTCGATGAAGACGGCAGCTCATGATAAGCGTGTACAAGGACGTTCGTCCGGTTCTCAACTTGCTAGCGGGCCCCAGCCGACCGCGAAGAATGGCGTGAAGCTTGCGAAGCCAGCAAACGTAATACCGCCACAGAAGAAACGTCGTGGTCGTCCGCCCAAGAATCCTCGCCCACCTAGCCCGGTTACAGCAAATGAACCACAGGTTGAGCACGTCGGAAATGGGATTCGTGCTCATTCGAACGCCGTTCGACAATCAGAAGCCGATGACAATACGATCTCCGTCGACTTGGATAATCGTCCCAGATCTGCCCGTGGGCGGAAGATCATTGCAGCCAGCTTCAGCCAGTCGATGGAAGATCCAATGGACATTGATAAAAACGAGCCCGAGATGGACGCGACCCCGACACGGTCCAGAGGCCGGAAAGGGGCTGGAGAAGACGTGATCACAGCTCGAGGACCATCGCGGACTGGACGTACGACCCGTCGTCTGACTATTGAAACAGACGGTGCAATGGAATCGGATGAGGAGCATTTGACGCTCACCTCAGCATCCAGACAAAAGCGTATACAGAAACCATTTCTGATTTCCCTGGAGAACAATGACAGCGAGTCCAGCTATAAGATGCATGGTACTGGCACGGACTCTGACGATGATGACGACGACGACGACGATGGGCCTATTTCTTCTCTCAGTCGTTCCTCCAGAAAAAAGAAATTACCGGCTCGGTTTAGATCGTCATCAGACGAGGAGTCCTAAAGGTATCAACTACACACACACTTCCCGGAAGTATTGCTGGGCATGGATGCGTCAGCCAATGCCTCAAAAATGCCATGTGTGAAATGATGGACGCAGAAGGTTATCATTGAAGAGGTAGTGCAGGCTTGTTTTTGGCATTTCACAAACAGCACCCAGTTGGCAGGCTTTACTAGTCTTCTCGCAGGGCTCGGTTGTGCGAGTCACTTGGCTGCTTAGCTGGGGGGTGTACATTTGATTGGCGCATTCAGGAGTACAAAGCATACATCGTTATTGGTGCGGATGGGACGCATGGCAAAGTGCCTCATTCACATGGACAAACACCTTAGCTTTGAATATACGTACTTGCATGCAATTGTGCCATCTGGCTATGTCTTCCAAATATGGTTAACCGATTTGGCAGTGTTTGTGTGGTGCTGGTTTCAACCTGAGCTGCATTTATTTGGAAGTGGTCTAATTGTGGTTGAGCTGTGAAACTCCTGTCGCCAGTTTAGGGTTTCATATATCTTTATTAGTCTAAAGTCTAAAGTCTGAAGTAAATTAAAGCTATGGTATATTGTTAAGCCTATATACCTTGTATAATACAAGCATGTTTTTGACTATCTAGAATTCCTAGAACCACGTCTTTAGGCTTTCTAGTTTCAGGCATTGCAACATTCCACAAGTCGGTATTAGAATTCTCTCTTCAGACTGACATGAAAGCGAGGCCTATTAATGTACAGGTATCTCCATCTTGCAAATCCCTCTCCCGATAATGATTAACATCACTACTCCAAAAGAGATGTAGGACTTTTTTTCTTTTCTTTTTTTTTTTCACTGGCAACCTGCAAGGCTTTGGCGAGGTTTAGTGCATATAAGGTCAAAGAGTCTCCTTTCAGTCCTGATCACCTATCAAATGGGAGAGCGAGGTGACTCACTTGCAATTATACTTTTAAAGGGCCGCTACTGTTCACGAGACAGGAGTTGCTATGTTTTCTTTTCCTTCTGTGTGTACTCGCAACATTCTTCTCTGACATAAACTACATTACCCATGCCCACGATCTTGGGCTTATATGCACTGAAAAAGCCAATGCTGTAAAAGATGACCTTGTGACTTCACATTTTGTCGAGGTTCACATCACATGCAATACATGGAAAGCTGTCCCTAACAACTAGAAAGGCACAAGTGATATTCCGCACACCTGTAAAGCAAAACATGCCTGTTTAGTAGGCCAACGAGATTCCGACAATTACCATACCATGTCTCATTTTGGCCCTCATGAAATGCCATGCTATACGTTGAGGTAATAGCATCATTTCTGTGCCCATTGCGGTGTGCCACCAACTCAGAGTTCAGGTCTATTTCTTGACTGCTCACATCTTTTGGGCCCCAAAGACTGCGCAGCTGAGAGAAAAAAGGAACCATGCCATGTGCATACGGGCAAGCGAAAGTGACTTCCACATGTCTACATCAATATTCATCAGGCAAAGTTGATAACGGTTTCCAGCCTTTGCGCAGATGTCCCTTTGCCCCAAGTTTTCTACTTCCCACAGCGCCTTTCCTACCAAGTTCTTTGCAAAAGATTGACAGTAGAAGAGAAGACAGCAGAGGGCCCAGAAATATGAAACTACAACTCTCGCAGTATTCTGGCCAAGTCATATACGGCAATGGCTTTTACTTCTGTTTTCTCAAGAACGTGGTGGAAAGGTCGAGCGGGTGCATAGTCATCAGTGACTCTGCGTCTGTATGAGAGAACAGAGCAAACAAAGCCCGGATCCGAAAATGTTCAATTTGCATGACTAGCGCGCATTGGTTGGATCCAAAGTACGTATCAGAACGACAATTCAATAATCCGGCTGCGCAAAGCACTATGACATAAAGACAAACGAGACGAAGGACTGGGGAACCTGCGCCCGCCCCCTCCTGTTTAAGTAAACTGGATTTGCACATGGGGGCTTTGTTGGGTTTCTGTTTGCGGGTTTACAGGATTCAATTTTTGACTTTGACAGCTGCTTGATGGCTGTCAAACATAACCCAGATAATATCCGAGAGTGCTCACTCAAGCCGACAGAACGAACGGCTCAAAGTTCAGATAGCTAGAATACATTCGATGCCAAATACCCCAGACGCCCATATACACCCATAACTCTAATACATACAACTCACATGTGCCCATCATACAAGATCTACCTCTTGAAGAAGCGCTTTTCAAGTGTACGCAATCCTATATACGAAATCGACGCAAAGGCAAAAGCCAGCTCAAAGCCAATGTCACCGCCAAGGCTGCCACCGGCAAGCTTGCCGATAGGGCCAGTGAACCATGTCTGCGACATGCCGAGGACGGCCCCCATAATACCGACCAAGAAGGCCGCCACGGCCGCCAACCCCGGCGGCAGACGCGACGGCGTTTCATAGTCCTTGATATCGTACCCGGTGATGCCGCGGCGGAAGACCACATGGTCGGTGACGCTAATGCCCGCATAAATAGCGAGCCAGTAGGCTATGACGAGCATGAAGTTCTCGAGCCAGGCCTCAAAGCGGTTATAGCCCGGGATGCTGATGGCGATGTAGATGCCGGTACCGAAAAAGACCCATACGAAGCGCGGTACCCTCTCCGTCTGCTTGGAAAGCAGCTGCAATGAGAGGGAGACGGAATAGATGTTGGGGCAGTTGTTGGCGATGATGGACAGGGCAAGGATGACGAGGCAAAACTGGCCGAAGCCACCTAGGCGGGGAACGAGCACGGTAGCTAGCAGGCCGCCGATGCCGGAGGCCGCGTAGGCGTCGGAGTAGGCGGGGTCGGAGACACTCGCGGTCATGACGGCAGCGCCCAGAAGCTCGGTGAAGCAGAGGGTGAAGAAGAGGCCGCAGAAGGTGACAAGGAAGACCTTCATCCGAGATGTGGACGCCGGGTAGTAACACGTATAGTCAGCGGCATAGGAAGTCCAGCCGGTCGCGAAGCCGTAGACGCTGGCAGCGAATGAGAGAACTGAGCCTGCTTCGGCGGGCCCTGAACTCATGGGGAGCATGCTGTTGAACTTGCCCGAGTGGGCGAACACCCCAAGGACGATAAGGAAGATGATGGCGCAGGGAATCCAGGAGAACCGCTCGTAGGTGTGGACCAGACGGTAGCCGAAGGTGCAGATGATGAGTGTCGAAATGGCGATGACGAGGATGCCGGCCCAACCAGGCATGTCGTTGTTGACGGCGTTAAACAGCTGAGCGCCGACGATGCAATTGACGGCCGACCAGCCCAGACATGCCAGGATATTGAATATTGCGACTGGGCCAAGAAGTTAGTGTGTTGCCCCTCGTGTAGTTCTCTTGGCATACGTACTCAGCTTGACTGTGTAGAAACCAAACCAGTAACGGGAGAGGACCATCTGTCGCAATCCGAAGACGGGACCAAAGGTCGAAAAGAAGCAGACGGGCATGATTCCCAAGAAGTTGATGAAAATGATGGTCAAAGCCGTGTCGGCGAAGCCGAGATTGAAGACGGGAATAGCCAGTACGCCGATAGCAAAGGAGGATACAACCATGTTGGCCGAACACCACTGTGAAAGAGTCAGGACGGTTCCCGGGACCGAGTGCGGCTATCGGCTGGACTTACCAACGTTCCGACGTTGGCGATGGTATCGTTGATTCGCTCGTCTTCAGGGACTCTTTCAATGCCCCTCTGCTCTACACCCAACTTGCCCGCCAGCGTTTGGAGTTTGGCATATGTGCTGGTGCTGGCTGCGAAGTCGGCCTCGTGGATGGCGCCGTCATTGGTCACGAATCCTTGCTCGACGTCGCTGGCCGGCTTCTTCTCCCCGCCGCTCGAAGAGACATTGCTCTTGGTCTCGAATACAGCCATCTTCCGGTTTACGGACGGCGCTTCCCGCTGGGTTGGTTATCAGGTTGGAATCAGGGGTTCACCGATAGCTCATAGCTCTACTCGACAAGTCGGGAAGGAGGAGGCCTATCTGGACGGGCGGGATGTTTGGCGGCAGATACTCGACAGAGACAAGCAGATGCTCAAAGCACCAGCGACTGTGAGAGGATGGAAGATCCGCGTCTGATGCCAGGGCATACGGTGGCGAACCCAACAGTAATATTCATTGCGGAAAGTGGAGGTGCCCTTATCAGAGCGCGACAGGCAGCGGACCGATGCTGCTTCGCCATATCTCCGGGTTGGAGATATCGTCTAGTCGCGGGCCCTATTTTTTATTTTATATTTTATGTTATTTAATTTTACTCGGAGCAGTACCTAGGTTTCCGACGCGAAACTGGTGGGGCGTAATGGAGCGATCAAAGATAAGAATCGCAGCATGGAAGACGTTTGATGGCCCACCAACGCGTTCCTGATGGGGGGCCCGATGTGGTTCGGAAGTAGGCCGGCACTTGACAGTCGAGGAATTGGGAGGCCAAGTTCGGGTGTGCCGGATTTGTCCGCCCAATCATGAGTCTTGGAGGAAGAGGATCTCCGGGTAACTACTCTCCGGTCAAGATGGAGGCAGTCCAGCGACAACCGCGGACGTCACTGAGGACATGTCGGAATGTGCTGCGATGCGAAATTATCTCGAGTCACACTGGCCTTCCTGGCCTTTGGTGGATATCTAAGAGAGATTGGTGGTTGATGGGTGTTTCTTTCAAGCCTTTGCTTAGTGTTCTCCGTCGGGTAAAAGACGTTGATACTAACCCAAGTGTCAGCCTGGGGGGGGAAGAGGGTTATCGCCGAGGTGAGGAAGGGGGGCAACAGCAAAATCAAGAGGGCAGGCAGGGCTCGTGCCCACAAAGCTTAGCAATTGGGCCATCAGCCACAGACTGACGTGGCGGTGCATGTCGACCGGTGGATCGGGACTTCCTCACCTAGTCCTCAACACGTCCCCACCCCACGCCACGGCACGCCACGGAAAGGTCAGCATTGCATTCCTACCTCCGTCACGCTTTCCCTCGTTGGCGCCTGTACCGCGGCGGCAGGTTGTTTCCAAAGAACTTTGTGTGGCTGGATTGCATACCAACAACTGCCATATGGCGAAGGCGATGCTGTGTGCGCCACTCACCGCGCGTTGCAAACAAACGAAGTAAATCTGCCCCCCCCCCCCCCCCCCCCCCCCCCCCGGCCCAGGCCATTGCATTTCAGGATTACGGGGCGAACGGGACACAGCATCGTCGTTGATCGCCGGCACTACGCGACAGCCGTCATGTCTCCTTGCGACCTCGGGTTGATGCGCAAGTGAGTACAGAGAGTTACGGGCGAAAGTCAAGTCGAGGCTAGACATGCCGTTCGCTGCGGGTTGTTCTACGAGCTCGTCTTCGTCCCGAACCCCCGTCGACGCAGGGGGAGCAAGACCTCAGTCACCCGTTCAATAGCACCCATCTTGACACCCCCTTCCATCCCTCGTATAGGTTTAGCAAATGCGCATCTCCAACCGAGTTTCGGCCGCTTGGAGCGCACTTCTCCCATCACACACCTGCCTAGTTACACGTGTGACTGTTAGACTATCGCCGTTCGCCCTCAGGTCGTTGCACGGTCTCGAGCGGACGTCCAAACGGCGCGATTGGAACGGCCTCGTCCGTATATTGAATACAAGGGAGACAGACATCGACTCCTAGGGCCATGGTGGAACCCAAACGAGGCAAGGCCCTCGGGCAATGAACCTCACCGTCGAGTCTGGTGGCCGAGAGACAAGCGTGCAAGACAAGAGCAAAACATGGTCAATACTTGACTGTTTGCTTTTCGATTGTAACAAAGACGGCCGGCTTTGGCGCCATTGGTCCACTCATTAGAATAACGTCCCCTTCGCGCACTCTATCTGTGTCCGCCATCACCTGACTTGCGTTGTCTCCTCTCCGCCACGGTTTCCATCCTCGTCTTCCCTTGTGCCGCGCTTCATTCTTGCTCAGACTCTTCGTGCGACTCAGCTCCCCACCACAACATACGTAGTATACAAACAGTGCCAAGCCGCTTCTGTACTAGTCCCGCCGAAGAACCCCAGCTATACTAGGCATTCCCGAAGCATTCTCGGTCCCTGCGGGAAAGAGTTCGTGACAAATTGTCAGTAGCGCTTGTATCCCTTTCCACAGTCTCACCACACCTTACGCCCTCGCTATATCTCGTTCCTGACAGAGGCTGACGGATTGATAACCACTCGGCTAAAATCCTTCCACGTCAAGTATCTCTCCGTGGCATGGGAAACACACGGTATCTCTGGCGGGTGTGAAGCCACTAGCAACGATTCATAATAGCACCATGTGTACGCTGGGGGAAATGACGGGTTGCTGTGTCTCAGTGATACCGTGCAGATCTTGCGCGGATTTGAGATGTGACGGAGAAAACCTTTTTTTTTCTGCCAGCCCACAATTCTGGCCTCGTTCATTCACCCCTTTGGTCCATCATTGCTTCCCAGAGCATCCGTCCATGAGGACCCCTGGCCTCCAAACGGCCCTCATTCTTGCCCCCCCCCCCCCGCCGTCCATCACCCTGCCACGCGTGGAAGATGGTGGTTGCCTGCGTGCTACCTAAGAAGGTTTCGAAGCAGAATGTGCTGCAAGGTATGCCGAGTGGGGGGGCTAACGCCGTCACCCATTGCTCCCGCAGTTTCCTGTCAGAGCGGCGTTGGTATACGTCTCTGTTTGTTTGCTCGTATTAAAGAGCATTCCTCCCGCCTCGTTAACCGGCTTCTGGTCGGTTGCATTCCGTCAGTCCCCTGGTCTGCATCTTCTTCAAGACTTCTCCCGGTTCTCGTTTCTGTTATATCAGCACTCTTTTCCCTCGCTTCGGGCTTGTTTTCCTCAAGTGGTCTATACCATCCTCGGCTCTTGCTGTCATCAACAAAGCAACAACATCAAGACACTCGCCCTCCACCATCACTACCCGTGTACGAACCACTCGAGAGCACCCTTCTATATTCGCAACTCTTTTCTCCCCGACCCTCTTCAGAACACGCACGAAGCAAATATGCAGCTTCCCACGATCTTGTCCTTGGCTCTTGCAGCCGCTTCTCTCAGCGTTTTCGTCCAGGGCCGCCCGCTCCCTTGTCCCGATGTGCGTCCCCAGTCCCGCTGCTGCGCTCCCACAGACAAAATCAAGACGTTTCTTCTTATCATCTTTCTAACTCTTTATGTCACAGGCGAAGCGTGATGATATCCTGAACGGCAAGGCCAACCCCGAGATCTGCTGCTCCTACGGTATCTGCAAAGGCGACGTCGTCGTCAGGAGCGGTTGAACGAGCCGGACGCAGGGACCCAGAAGATGCTTGGATAGTAGCGTTGCGCGAGCAAATCACTCGCCAACAAAACGAATACTGCCACAGCAACGACAAGATCAAAGCATCGATCACTGCGCCTCTTCTCACCAAGTCGCATACATTCGCCCTTTTCTCTTTCTGACACACACCCATCCACACACACACACACACACACTCGCTACAGCATATGCATACATCGGCGTTCCAACAGGTTGCATCATCGATAGCAGCGTTACGGACGCAACCATCGACGACTCTCCATGCAGTTTGTGAGGGAGGGGGGAGAGGCTCTTGTCCATGGTCGAGTTGCAAACGCATGCACTCAGATTGCCCTTTCGGGATTGGTTGCAGATTTTACGCAAAAGAAGCGGTCGGGCGTACACAGTCAGCCCATGCTGCACATCCCGCTATCTTGAAATCCTTGGTCGACGAATGGGATCACCGGGAGTGGGCTTCGGCCACCCCCCCCCCCCCCCGGCCCACTGGCCGGACCAAAGAAACGAGAGAAGCGGGACTGGTTGTGCATGAGATGGCCACGTTAACTTCGAACGGAGAACGGGGAATGCATAGGGACCGGATCGTCGTTGGTGAGCCCGGCGAGGCGTGAAGGCGTTCGAGCCGGGGCTCGAGAATGAGCCAGGCTTTACGCTCAGCGACATCGCCTGAGACGGTCATGCCGATGAAGCGATATCACGAATCAACACGCATAAATAACGAGCCACATGGCAGGGCCGTAGACCGGGTATTACGAGACATGCCGTCAACCAGGATTGACTAGTTGAATTGTTTTTTTTAATAAAAAAACTTTATTTTGGAAGAAACGTGCGTCAAAATCGTGCTGACTGGAGCGCCGCCCGAAAAGATAATTCGTAACCACCCCCCAAACCCACGCGTTCGTCTATTGGCCCGCTGTCTCGTGTCGCGACAAGCAGGGTTAGGAATAAGTAACTTGAAGTAATTATTTCTAAAAAAATACTTACTTAAGTATACTTAGGCCTATAAGATACTCAAGTTTACTTAAGCTAAGAAGATACTTACTTAAGTATACTTAAGTAATTCCTAAGTATACTTAAATACTTATTACGTAATATTTTGAAATAATTTCTTAGTAAAGTAAAAGAGATAAAGCTAATACTCTAGGTCTTTAGGTATATAACTAGTCACATGACCTAGATAGCTAGCTAATCTAGCCTATTATATACCTTGTTATTTGTCTTTTTCTTATATAAGTAAGTATTTAAGTATATTTAAGACTTACTTAAGTATACTTAAGTATCTGCTTTAGAGAATTTTACTTACTTATACTTAGTAAGTACTTTTAACCCTAGACTTATACTTAGTAAGTACTTTTAACCCTAGACTTATACTTACTTACTTGAGTATACTTGTACTTTTACTTATACTTAAGTATTTTTTCCTAACCCTGGCGACAAGAGGGTCTCCCTTTCAGCAGTCCGGTCTGCGCCTCCCACCCACCGTCAGGGATTGCGCTCACACCAGGGGGGGGGGGGGGGGGGGGGGGAAGCCACTGGCGTATCGGGTTAAGTCACGGGCAGACCACTCTACAGCAGTACGAGGCGGGTTGGGCTGACATCGTGTTGAATAAAAGGGACTTTCGTCAACCCTTCTCACGAGACCTGTTTACGAGACTCTCCCCGCGAGAAAGGCCTCGCTAGAGATGACAAAGCCGTACGAGCCCTGCGGCGGTTAGTGAGCGCCCGGTCGCCCGTGGCTTTTCCAGCACGAATCACGCGAAATCCGCACCAGAACGTGATTCGGGCACGGAGGGCGTTGGGAAGGAGGGGAGCGACTTACGGCAACATTGTACAGACATACCTCCTGGGCGCCGGGCGACTTGGTCGCGCAGCAGTCCTCGATCATGACGCAGTCCCACCCGGCGTTGTAGGCATCCGTCAGCGTGCTCAGGACGCACTGGTCCGTGTTGACGCCGGCGAAGAGCAGCGTGCGCTTGCCCCCCTCGGCGGCGGCCCCGGACCGCTCCAGGTACCTCCGCAGCGGCTGTTCCCGGCTCCACAGGCCTGACATGCGGTTCTTGTTGCAGCGCACGTCCTCCGGGCGGGCGCTCCGCTTCAGCGGCTCGTAGATGTCGGCGTTCCACTCCCCGGCGACAAGGCACCGCCCCTGGCCGTCGCCCAGGTCCCCGCCGAGGCCGAGGCGGACCACCTTGTCGTCCGACTCCCCAAGGATGAGCGACCGAGAGAAGCCGCGTTGGACGCTGGCGGGCATTGCCGCGAGGTCGCCGTCGGTCAGGCCCCAATTTAGCCAGATTACCTGTGTTCCGCGCGTGCAAGGGTGAGCTTAGCTACCCAACACCGCCTCCCGTAGGGTAAGACGGGGGAGGTGACGTCTGCCGTAGAGACCCGAACGTTCGACGGGCGGAAATGACAAACCGTACCTGGACACCTAATTCGCGGCATTTCTCAATGACCTTCTCGATCCTCTCCACCGCGGCCAGACCGGCCGGGTGGTCTCGACACTTCGGGTGCAGGAAGTAGTTCTGCGTATCGACAATGACGAGAGCCGTGCTGTGGGCTGCCACGGAGATGGACGTCTCCTCGGGCCCTTGGCTCGTGCGGACGGTCCAGGTCGGGGACCGGCCCCTGGTGAGATCATAGGTTCGCGATGGTCGCTCGTAGTGCCACTCGTCGCCCGGCGGGCCAAAGGTCAAGTCTGGGCGCATGACAAAGGTGAGGAGGGCCCGGGATTTTCTCCTCGGGTATTGTAGCTCTGGCTGCGGGTATAAGTCAGAAACCTCCCCCAGATTGCGGGGATTCTGTTTTTTTTTTCCTTCTCAAGCGATTGGGCGGAATGAGTATGGCTGGTGTAGTCGAGAGGATGAGAGACGAAAAGAAGAGTCATCTGATAAGAAATCCCGCAGTGCAGCGCAGCGCTTGCGCCGGATGTACGTGTCAGTAACGTCTACCCACCCGTCCATCCAGCGGGAAGGAGCATGCGTCGGCGCGGCTATTGGCCGATCACGGACGAGCAATTGTCGATCCCGACGTACAGGGAAAGAAACGTGAAGAGTCTCATAACTCGGCCGCATACTGCATCACCTCGCCCTGCCAGCGCAGAAAAGAAATCTCGCAAGGGCAGGTAATTCGTTTCTACGTGCACATAGAGGGGAACCAGACAGCTACCAGGAGAGCCGTTCCATGCAGGCGCATATCGAAATGGGAGGTGTAGGTAGGCCCGAGGTGCCAGAGTCAACACCCACGGGCTTTGCCGCATGCGATCAATAGCCCATACCGCTCCGGGTCCAGGGGAAACAGGGAGCAGTTCGGGGCCGACCGCCGGGTTGTTTCAAGACTAGCAGAGTGCATGTAGAAAGTCCATGTACAATCTACAAGGGACCTACCTATCTTGCTTCGGGGACCGTCGTAATTCGTCGAGCGACATGGTCCCCAACTAGCGACAAGACGATGAGAGAGACAATGGAAAAAGGGCAGGGAATCTTCGAACCCCATCAAAGCTCCAGTCCAGATACCACGTGAACACATGAAAAAAAGAAAGAAAAAAAATCCCCGCTCTGCGGCGCTCTGCGGCGCTCTGCGGGATGAGTCTTCAGATGGTCCCTCCGCTACCGACGCGCCTGAATTGCGAGTTGCGAGCCGCTTCGTTTGGCCAGCGTGTCGCAGGGGAAGGGTCAATGTCGGGTACGGACCGTCGTCGTGATTGGAGCGGGAAGTCGCAAAGAGGAAAAATCGGTCTTACAGCGACCGAACAATTCCCACCTTGCGGGCAGCGCCCCACACCCTGCCAACAAGCTTCGACCCTGCGTGACGTTGCGGCGTGGGGAACTTGGGGGGGCGTTCTCGACGAGGTTGATGAGGGGCTGGAGCTCGGCATCGAGGGGCCGAAGAAGCTCCTGGTTGCTTGCTGGCCCGGCATAAAATAAAACACAACAAGAAGCCCACAAGGCCTCCGTGGTATATATCCAGCCGAAAGACTGTTCAGCCGTCTGGTCGCCCTCCAGTCCTACTCTCTTCTGCCCCGTCTCCTTCGCCTCTCTTCTTGTTCCATTCTGCCGCCCTTCAGGCTCCGCCGTCTGTAGCCATCAGTCGTCTCGTAGGCCTTGAATCCGCGTCTCATACCCCGCCGCATCCTTCTCTTCCCCCCTCCCAGCCCTGCTACATCACATACGCATAAACAGGCAGAACAAACTCCAGAGTCGTATCTCACAATGTCCGCAACCGTCGGCTCCGTCAAGCCGTCCAAGGCTAACATTGGTGTGTTTACCAACCCCGCACACGACCTGTGGATCAACGAGGCCGAGCCCAAGTTGGAAGCTGTCCAGGCCGGAGAGGGATTGAAGCATGGCGAGGTCACTGTGGCGATCCGAAGCACTGGCATCTGCGGGTAAGAATTCTGACGACGGGCAACGTGTGCTGTTGGAGAGGACGAGACTGACAAAGGCCGTACAGGTCTGACGTTCACTTCTGGAAGCACGGATGCATCGGCCCCATGATAGTCGACGGTGACCACATCCTCGGCCACGAATCGGCGGGTGAGATTCTCGCGGTTCACCCCAGCGTCACCCACCTCAAGGTCGGCGACCGCGTCGCGGTCGAGCCCAACGTCATCTGCAACGCCTGCGAGCCCTGCTTGACCGGCCGCTACAACGGCTGCGAGCAGGTCCAATTCCTGTCCACCCCGCCCGTTCCGGGTCTTCTGCGCCGATACGTCAACCATCCTGCGGTTTGGTGCCACAAAATTGGCAACATGTCATACGAGAACGGTGCCATGTTGGAGCCCCTGAGTGTCGCCCTCGCCGGCATGCAGCGTGCCGGCGTGCGGCTCGGTGACCCGGTCCTGGTCTGCGGTGCGGGCCCCATCGGTCTCATCACTCTCCTCTGCGCCAAGGCGGCCGGCGCCTGTCCGTTGGTCATCACGGATATTGATGACGGACGCCTGGCCTTCGCCAAGGAACTGGTGCCCACGGCTATAACCCACAAGGTCGGCCGTGGCACAGCCGAGGAGGAGGCGAAGCGTATCGTCGAATCCTTCGGAGGCATCGAGCCGGCTGTGGCCATGGAGTGCACCGGCGTGGAGAGCAGTATCGCGTCGGCCGTCTGGGCCAGCAAGTTTGGCGGCAAGGTCTTCATCATCGGTGTTGGCCGCAACGAGATCAACTTCCCCTTCATGCGCGCCAGCGTTCGCGAGGTTGACATCCAGCTGCAGTACCGTTACTGCAACACATGGCCCAGAGCCATCCGACTGGTGGAGAGCGGCGTCGTCGACCTCAGCAAGCTGGTGACACACAAGTTCACGCTTGAGGATGCCCTCGGCGCCTTTGAGGCAGCCAGAGATCCCAAGTCGGGTGCCATCAAGGTTATGATCCAGAGCCTGGACTAGGCTATGTGGCGCGACATGGTTGGTGTTTTGGGCATACTCTGGTGGTGTTGGCGATCTGGTGCCACGGATGGCTTTATTTTCTCTCTTGTTCTTCTTTTTTCTCTCCCGATAAGATTCAGAAATGTTTCTTAATGAAATCACATTACGACACTGAATGTTTGCGATGCATGGTTTTGTGCGAGCGGTTGTTGTGTTACGTACCTAAGGAAGGTGGTGCTTGGGATCTGGTGCGGCGAGTAAGGATAGATACGGTATTGGAGCGGCAACGTCGATGGTGCAAAGTGCTTGAAGGACGTGACGCTGAGATTTGATGCAACGGATATCCGTCATCTAATATAGTATAACCGACTGCCAGAGGCAAGCCTGGAATGGAAGGGGGCAGTTGAATGCAAGACCTCTTTCGACCTACCTACCCCAGTGCATATCTTGCTGCCCGCTTGTCAGGTTTAGTTCACCAGACAAGCCACAGCCACAGGCTTCTCTCACGGCGGCAAGAGCTGCTGAGCTGAGTACTCTGTACGGATACTCCGTAGTAAAGGGAATACCTACTGCCCGGCCCCACTCACCTTGGAGGAGAGATCTCCCGCATCTGATTGGCCAGATCCTAAAGCGGCATAACCCGTCCGTCCCTGTCAGCGCGATAACAATCAATACGCTGTCGTCCCTTGTACCTGAACAACCTACCTAGGTGAGTGAGTGCCTGACCATTGGGTTTTTTCATCTCTTTGCCTTGGCTAGCGCTAGCAGCTTGCCCAGCGCCCAGCACCCAGCACCCAGCACCCAGGCTGGAAATCGCACGCACGGACCACTCGTCCGGCTCGCAACAACAGCACAAGCGAAATCTTCCGAGAGGTCGGAGGCAGACTCTGGCAGGAGAGCTCTTTTTTTCACCTCACGCAAAAACACACCCCCATCACCACCCCCTTCCCATCAATTGGCCGCCAACGAAGCTCCCTCTTCGACCCCGGAGCCGCCCACATCGACCTTTTCCGATTCGACTTCTAGATACCCCGTTTTAATCCCCTTCTCTCCGACCTCGACGTCCCCATACGGCCCTCAAAATGTCTTCCGCTCTCGCTCGCCCGCTGATGCGGACCACCGCTCGCACTCTCCCTTCGCGCCTCGCCCTCCGTTTCGAGTCCACCACCACCAAGAAGGCCACCGAGTCCGCTAAGGATGCCGCCAACAAGGCCACCGAGTCCGCCAAGGATGCCGCCAACAAGGCCAGCGAGTACTCGGCCAAGGCCGCCCAGGGCCTGAGCCGCGCCGCCAGCGCCGCCGGTCCCGCCCTCTCCAGTGCCGTCAGCGCCCTCGGCAAGGCCGGCGGCCGCACTGGCAAGGTCGTCAACTTCATTGAGAGTACGTGTCACCCGGGACAAACGGTCCCTTGAGGACTAGCGTGATCGAGAGCGCCTTCTCCCGCAACTTTGCTTGGTCGATTGCTGACGGATATGCCACTACAGAGCAAGTTCCTTGGGTTGTCTATTACTCCCGCGTCGGCCTTGAGCTGTCCAAGATCGTCTTCCACGGCCAGAAGATGGCTCCTCCGTAAGTGGCGCTGGTATTGGAATCCGCCTTCTAGCTTCTAACGGCCGGTATAGCCCCGTCAGCACCTTTCAGTCCTACTTCCAGCGCGCCCTGGGTATCCTGAAGAACCCCAACACCCTCCTGAAATCCGTGTCATCGACCGCCAACTCCGCCGCCGCCGCCAAGCCCGCCGACATCGCCTCGCGCATCAACACCGCCTCTGTGGCCTTCGGTGCTGTCGTCGCCGCCGAGTGCCTCGGTTTCTTCACCGTCGGAGAGATGCTCGGCCGCTTCAAGATTGTCGGCTACCACGGCGAGACCCACGCCGCCCACCACTAAACGCGCCGACTCCGAGCTTCCCCATCTCGTGTCGATTCGAAGGGAAAACGTGACGGGGGCTGGTTGCTCCCTCATTAATTCTAACTGCATCTAAAGGGAAAGAGCGCAATTGGTGGTATCGGGAGGGATATAGAAATCGGTGGAGGGTGTGTTTTTTTGGAACCATGACGTGAATGCTCGATGCCCTTGGTAGAGGTTCATGTATCCCGTCGCACAGCTCCCGGTCGAGACCTGTTGGACCGCTACGGAGCTGGTTGTCTGGGAAACGCAGAAAGAGAACGGTCTGACGGCCTTGGATTCGGTCGTTGGATCGCTTCCTTGACAGGCACCTTATTATTTCCTTATGTAGACTCTGTACATCACACGTCAAACGCAGCCTACGCACGCTGCGAAACCTGCCTCCTGCGGGTAAATAACAGGAAACTATTTGAACCATTCGTTTTGTTCCTCTCGTATCTCGAACGAGCCATCCCTTTGTATGGCGTCAAGACTGGAGCGGCCCTTCTCCCTCGCGCATGCGCAACTCTGCAAGACTTTCAGGAAGCTGCCTAGCTGCGGCAAGAATATGGAACTCGCGGAACAGGTCCCAGTGACCCCGAGGCGAGGCAGCCGGTTCCCGCGACAGGCCTCGAGGTGATTCCCAACCCTTATCTGGCTCGGAACCCGTCATGACACAGTGGCTGTTCAGCAAAGGAATCCGCACAAACCAAGCCATAGTATGGCTTGGACCTGCACGGGAAACCAGAATGAGAATGGCCCCTGGGGGAATATCTGGAGATGGCAACAGGACAAGCCGTAAAGCCTATTATGATGGTGCCAAAGACAATCTCTCGAGAAACTCGTCCCCCTTCTGTCTTCTCTTCATCTCTCATGTATTCCTTTCGTCTGACGGGTATTTCGGCGTCATGGCATGCCGTTTCAAACAGTATTCTTACGCAGGCTTACAATCTACCAACCTACTCCCCTTCCTCTTCGTACTATAGCCTGTGGTAAGAACCGGATGGTGTAGTTTCGATATGAGTGTGTAGCCAATGCTGAATGTTTAGACCCTTTGAAAATTATTAGCAAGGTCTGATTTGCCGCCGTCAGCTTGCAACCGGACGTGTCATTCTCATTTTCAGTATAAGTAACATCATGCCATCATCAGAGGCTACAACCCACATGCTAGACCCATGAGCCGATGGAAAGGACGTGCATGAACGGGAGCTACTGTGTCAGCCTGATCACGATGAACAGAAATCGGCACGGGATGAGCGTTTTGATGTTATGTCGAAACGTTTCAGTGCTTGTCGGTTCCCTTTGCTTGTTGCTCGTAGGTCTGGATTGCCGAATAGCTGTATGATAGCGTGCATGCGTATGTATTTTTGAATCATGTTGAGACTTCCGCGCAGACGCACATCACCTTGAGTTCCATATTTCCCTTGAGGGCAGCAAATATGATACTCGAGTGAGGCGAAAAACATTTGACGCTTCCCTTATTGCTACTTGTGGCAGGAAACTCAAGACTATCCTCTGCAACACAAGCCAGCGAGCATCCATAGGTGGAACGCACTCTTCGTCAGCAGTTGGCCTCCCATAGTCATGCCTCTGAGTCCATTTTATAACTCTTGAGTTGTGCCTCGTTGTCTTCATCAACCCATGGTCCACAAAGAGGATGAACCCATGCGTCAACTTCGGCCGACGTCTGAATCGCTTCCATCCACGACCCCATCAGCCAGCATCTGCTCGTATCGATACGATTCCCGCACCTCGATGACAAGTACCAACTAGGACACGTACGTTCCAGAAAGAACCCCAAAGTAGACTTGGTAACAGCTGCAAGTATTCGATCATTCCTTCATCAGCGACTGCCGCAGGCTCGGAAGCTCTAGATGAGTAGGCGGTGAGGATCAGCAGGCAAGCTGCCGTACCAACAACCTCCAGATAATGAAGCCTTACGGCGATGAAAGGCCGGCTAGCCAGTCTTATTTGGTGTTCAAGTCCGCCTTTAATCGACGAACAAACTGCTCCCTACAAGGGCGCCGGCCAAGTATCGTCAATATTCATGTCATCTGGCTCTATCGAAAGCGCGTTACAAAGGTCTCTTGAGCCCGATTGTGCATCTTCATGATCCGGTCTTTTGGATCCCCCTTCAAACCAAACCAAACCAGACACCTCTTTAGCCCAGCCTACACACCACCGCAACCACGGGGCTTGGAGAAAGGTAGCAACGGACTTCACCACCGGGCTGAGAACAAGGCCGGGTACGATGAGGCCATATTCTGGTGCTGCAGAGCTATTGTCGCGCCGCCTTCGTAATTTGGGCATCAACCGCGTCCACCTCCCCGGAGCCCTGTCCGTCTACAGGCCCAGGAAAAGGAAGCCGGGAAACCCAAAGTTGCCCTGCACCGTAGTACACCCTGTGGACTACGCACCGTGCAAGATATCAATGTCGACCAATGCTTCCCGTGGCAACCAGGGGGGCTGCGAACGATTGCTATCATGCTTCTCTAACCGCATGTGTACAGAACACGACTGAGTACCGCAAGCAGGAGCATGGATCTGCCTCCAAGGACTGGACGATATGGATACTATTCGTCCGGGGACCAAGGCCGGAGGGTCCTATCCCCCAAGACGAATACAAAAGTTTGGGGACTTTCGCAAATCCACCGCCACTACCTCCCCACGCTACGGTACCAATCCCTCGGGTTGATACATGGAAGCAAACAAAGTGGTCGAATGGGAGCAATGATTTTCCGCGGTGGTGGTCAGCCTAGGCGGGCAGCCAGTAAGGACCATGGTGGCTCACACTACAGTACATTGATACATCAGCCAAAAGCAACGAAAGATCGAGAGACATGTTTTGCCAAGAATATCATTCATGATATTCATATCCAGGGGAGGTATATAGGTTCCTATGCTGTACCCTTGCATCGGATATGTAGGGTATACAGACTTTTGAGTCCAGCTCCGAGTTCACAGGACCACGACCCGGCACAGAGAAAGCAGCCCAGAGCGGTCGAGATGAAGCATGTAGTCTCAAAAGGTGACTTCTGGTGATTCTGAGTTTCCGTACTCATGTAACAGCGCTGATGTATGTGTAGAAGCAAGATCTGGTCTTGATGCAGAGTAGAGAAAAATGTCAAAGCAGGGCAGTGTGCTCTTGGCCCGGAAAAGATCGAGATCGGCGCCCTTAACCTGCATATCCCTCACCACGTCAACAACAGAGAAGTAGTGTAGCATAAGCGATAGACAGCAACCGCATCCAAGACGGCGGAAGCAACAGCACACCGGAACCCCCTTCCCCGAGATACGAGGACATCGATTCACGCCTTGGCCCCCACAATGGACAAGATGAACAACAAATATTCAATGCTCGTCTCCGCCTCCTCGATTGCCTGCCAGCTCCGCTCCTCCCCCCGCCCTCTGTCTCCCATCACCGCGCCTCGTCCAACGTCGTCATTGGCAACCTGTTTCCCGAGTACTGCCAACCTGGTTCCAGGTAAAGGGGGTGGATCGCTGCGGGCCGTGATCCTGCCGACCCTACCAACGGGCGCGGCCGTCCAACTTCGTGCCCAACCAACCTGCAGAGCCAGCTGTTCCCGCATAACAGCTCCCACCCGACAAGCGGCCTGAAAGCCTTGGGCCAAGCTTGGTTCTGTTTGGGCTAAGTCACGAAAAGATACGAGCGGTTGTGGAAGACAGAAGAGAGGGGAAAGAAAAAGGAAATTGAAAAAAGAAAAAAGAAGAAGGAAAAGAAAAACCCCGATTCAAAAGAAAGGGAAAAGGGAGGATAGGAGGCTACTCTTGTGTTCGCGTTTGGTCCTACTCCTACCTTCTACCGTAGCCTACACATTCGCTGTCACCCCAAACGGCCACAGGATAGAGGAAATGGCCGACGGCAACCCCCATTTTCACGCGGGCCACTCATATCAGGGATCCGTATTCCCGGCTCCAGGCGCTCGATCGTGTACAGGTACATCCATAGTGGAAAAGGGAGAGACAAACAGGACATGTGGGGGTGGCCTTTGCTAATCCGTGAGAGCGCATGCACATGTATTGCATCGCGTGTGGGTGGGGAGAGACAAGAGGAGGAGGAGGAGGAGGGGGGGGGCGAGAAGGGCGCGGGGTGGAATTCTGAAGCGAGTTATTTGGGTAAAGAGAGGTCGGCAAATCCACCAACGGCGACTGCAGGGTCCGGAGGCGTCTGGCTTCTCTCCGCGGCATGCACGTCGCACTTCGAGGAGGCTGGTGCGGCCAGCCGACTCCACGGTGTGGGCGAATCCTGCCCTATTCCAACCTCACCCGGGCTGAGCGAAATGCCACAGGCAAACATTGAGAAGGGTAGAGGGTGGGGGGCAGGGGCGAGGAGGAAGAAGATGAGGGCGTGGCCTGATCGGCAGGGAAGGAAGGCATTAGGGAAAACCTCAGAAGACGTTCAAACGTGCAAACGGGACGGTTCGTCGAGGACCCGGGGATACGCAAATACGCATTGTTCTCAGTTGCGAACCTACGGCATGAAGCACGTACATGATCTGTCGTTCCTTAGCGGCATGCTCGACCGACAATGCCGTTTTTGCGTTTCTCCCATTTCCGCATATGTACGCCGGTCGGCTAGGCATCCCTGAACGTCTTATTGCCCGGCCAAAGCCCATGCAGTAGTGTAGTTGCCCAACCTGGTAGGGGTCTTTGACGAAGGGATTGCAACGTTGCCAGGTAGCCCACGACTGACACGTTTTCAGTGGAATGGGCGAAAAGGGCCGGCTAACAGTCGAACCATCCAACCAGGAGTGGCTGACTGATGCGGATGAGCAATGCGGGAGAAATGTGATCTGCAGAATATGGAGATGGCAGGGCAGGGTAGAGGGGGAAAGACAAGGAGAACCAACTGTTCCACAAGGCTCGAGGCAACAACTCAGTTACAATCCCATCTAGGATTGCGTTGTTTGCGAACTCGGAAAGAGATACGGCGAGTCTTCTTCCTCGCCCTGCGCCAAAAAGCCCACCTCGATCGAGTCTTCGTCTTGCAACATCAGATCGTACTCGTAGCTCAGCCACAGAGCACGACTCATCAATGGATGAGAACACCAAACCCGGCCGTGACCCAGGCCGGGCCGTCAGTCAAGGTCTCAAGCGGCCTCATGGCGCGGCCGCAATTTGGCATCATCATCCATCATAGTCCGGTTTTATTTTATTTACACAGCCAACTTGTAACAGGTTCGAAAGAAAACAAACAACGGCCGCAGACACCAGCCCTTCCCCATCCTTAACGCAGTCGTGGCTCGATCCGCCGGCTGACGTGTCTCTCGTCGACCTTCTCTATCCACACCATCCCGTTTTCCCATGCGCATGCAGATAGACAACGCCTCAAGTTCAGGCCCGCGCTCGACGCCGTGGAGGAAAGAAAGGGAAATAACAAGTACGGAAACCCTCAACTACATCTATATTCTAGTTGGACCGGGCCGTTTCATCCCTACTAGTGCATTGTATAACGAAAGACATAGGGAACAAGGAGGCAAACCGACCTTGGCCAGTACTTTACATGAGCCAACTCAGTGTGCCAGGTGCTTTCTTAGGAAGGCAGAGGGCCTGGATAGGACGAATGATGTTGGTATAATCATATACCACGGTGGGTTAACGCGCCGAATTGGGTTATATTGTTAATGCGTGCGAGGGTCGGTGCTTGCTTGCATGTAGCCCATGTAGAGGCACTAAAGGCGGCTTCTAGGGGGAGGCTTGGCTGACTTTGTGGTATATTCTGTACGACGCGTGATTGTAAGCCAGGTAGAGTGACTTTAGCGACAGATCTACTCGAGCAAGGTGGATTGACATCGCGTAGGAAAAGCTGCAGGCTGGTTGCAAGACTCGTTGCGTCTCCCACCGTGTGTGCATGCATCTAGCCAACGTGATGCGGGCAGCCGGCGGCCCTGGACGGATCGAGAGATATGTGGTGACGTGTAGGACCAGACCAGACTCCGACGAGATCTCAGGCAGGAATCCGCGAGCGTAATTCGGTATGACCAATATCATCGTCCACAAGTCCACCCACCCTGAGGAAGACCGAGTCTAGACAGCGCAAACCGCATTTCCGAGGGGCTGCAGGGTGGAAATCATGCCGTTGGTTGGGTGAAGAAGCGCCGCAAAGGGAATCGTAAGTTGCAGGTTGGCTCGCTGACAGCGCGGCAACCGAATTAATTAGGCAGTTGGCAGTGAGCCCGAGGTGATGGAAAGTTGGATGGTGTAAACATAGAAAACAGAATCGCTATAGCGGTCCAATTGATAGGCGTCTCTTTGCGAGATGTCCGACTTTGCAGGCTCGCCTCGTCTCATTTCGGGCCCACACCGGCTTGCAAACGGGAGGATAACGGCATGAGAATCACCAACGTTGGCAAACCCCGTCTTGTGTAATGGGGAACCCCCCTCGGCAGGTTGGGTTGCCCCCTTTCAGATCATTGGCCGGGTTTCCTAGCCGTCCAGACAAACCTAGACCCGTCAATTAGAATACCGCGCTCAGAAGAAGAGCTTACAGATACCTCGGCGGCAATCTGCATACGGAAACTCACATTCTACAGTAGGCATGGACGTGCAGCCGACAGATATCCATCTTCAGGTCTTCCACCAGCCTGTCCACCTGATGCCTTGGCCAACCTTCTATTTGGACGAAAGGTGCGAGTGTCAATGCCTCGAACCCATGAGTGAGGCCAAGGTTGAACCATCGGCCAATCTCCTGCTCGAATTTGTCGGCGCTCCACGGGTTGATCGGTAGTTTGACTATGTTCTCGGTGATGTTGGTGAAACCCGCTGCGTGAAGTTCGGCTCTAGTATCGAAAATGTCAATTGGTTGCCTGTACGTCTGCATCGCACGTCGCAAGGTGTTACCCCAAAGAACGAGGGGCGAGTCCGTTGGTAAGGTGTTATCGTCGCTACGGAACATCCACTCGATTTCCACATGCTCAATCGAGCCACCGGGCCTGATATGTCTGAAAGATTTTCGGTAGAGGTCTGGCCAGTCTCGTATGGACCCGAGTAGCATTTGTATGTGGATCAGATCGAAGGTCTGCTCTGGTGCTGGCCACGGCGCCTCAACATCGGCGCGCACGAACGAAACACATGTGGGAATTCTGGGGAAAAGTCAGCCTATGTTGCCAAGCCCGCGGGAAATACACGATAACATACACATGGGGCTGGATGTAAGCAAGGTCGAGCCCTAGTACGCGACCCTGGTTGTCCGGGCCCTTGTAAAGCGAACTATGGCGAGGGTGTTAGCAAACGATAGTGCTAAAATCTGGCGCAGAAGGAGTAGGATAGGCTTTCTTACTCAGCGACGTCGATCGCCCAAATGCCAGTGCCCGTCCCAAGATCAAGAACTTGGGCCCTATCAGGAAGTAGCGCGTCATGTAACTTGCTTTTTCTTGCCAGGAAGATGAGCTTGTGGAATATGTCCAGTCTGTCTTGTTCGGCCTAGAGATTGTTAGTCGGGGAGGGGGCTTCCATCTCTCACAAGTCGACTCTCAGAGCAACTTGCCTCATCGATTGGAAGCAGATATCTTCCTCGCCGAAACCCTTCATAAACGCGGCCGTGATCAGAGTAATGCGACGAGGTATCGGGGGTCCCACTGGAGAGGGCAGGTTAGCGATTGGCCTCGGCGAACACAACTATGTCGAAGCCATGGCAATGGCCATAATCATGAGAAAGACATACCTATTTTGAGACATTGTCACTCCACAGACAATATGCGGATTGTGAGGCTGGTGGGCTTTGATGGAGTTCGCTGTTCAAGACGAGAGAGCGAGATGGCTGAACAGATGATTCCCCAGTGAGAGATGGGACTGGGACATCAACCAGGAAGCGCTGGATGGAGATCTTCAAGAGCCGGGAGCAGGAGTCGTAAGTCAGTAGAGAACCGCCTTGCCTCTGCGGCAGCCTTCCTTTCGATGAACTTTGGCAAGTCAGCTTTGTCGAAACATGCGTTGACAAGGGATCAACAGCTCAAGCTATGAGATGATGCTGGTGATTCCTGAAACATGAAAAGGGAAGTAGATGTGGCGGGATTGAGAAGCGGGCAATTTAAGAGTGTGTGCGTGTGTGTGTGTGTGTGTGTGTGTGTGTGTGTGCAGTCTGGACCGGGAAACGAAACGAAGTGATGGCAGCGGTGCAGGCGGCTGCAAGTCGATAGAAGCACTCGCTGATGGCATCCAGGGAATAAGGCCGCCCAGTACAACTGACTTTTATGGAGAAGGGGACCCACGCAAGAGCGAGCCCTTCTTTGCGAGAGGAAGAGGGTGCCGGAAACGAAGGAACGAGCCAGCTGCAGCGAGATGTAACGGACATCAGTAGGAAAAAGAGGGGAGGGGGACTGTGACGAAACCAAAGTCCTGTTCCTGCGTCAAGGGATCTGGGTAGCTCGACAGCTTCTTGTATTCCGAGGATTGGTACACTGACACCGCTTCATTCTCTCCCTCTTCCTCTCTCACACACAGCAGCAGCAGCGTTGGCCAACATGGGTGCCACATCAATACACATGACACCCTATGCCTATGCACTTGCACTTGCACCAGCTGACGTGCGCGAGCGCGCGCATACATTGACTTGAACGCATCTTTCTGCTTTGGGTCCCCCTAGGACACCTCTTCAGTGCAATACAAGGTTGTCAGCAACTCATGGCCCAACCAACAAGCTGGCGAATGGTTATGTGACTGCAGGACGCCCTTTGCCTTCAAGGTAGGCATGAGGATGAGGATGACAAGGGTTGAGGTGCATTAACTTAGGGCAGAGACAAGGGCCAAGTGATGGGCCTCGATAGCGTAACAGTACATGTACCTGCATGCACACAGTTGCAATTGAGCCTGTAGCTAGAACGGCAGTAAAATTGTACAGAGTACATGTGTGCGTATACTTGTGTGTGTATGTAGGTGTTCATCTGTGGAACAGGCTGATCTTTCCCACATCACCTTTGCTGGGCCTTGGCCATTCGCAACACTGCCACAGGCACCAGGAAGAGCCAGAATAGAGGAGGAACAGATTGTGCACCAAACAAGGCAGGGCAAGATATAGGGGAACGTAACAAGATGACCAATGCTAGGGTGGAAGTGAAAGAGAGAGGGAGAGGGACAAAGAGACGAAGCAGAATGAGGTTGAAGTGAGAGCCAAGGGGTCAGGCGGCAAAAGAAAATGCGCTGCAATTGACGTACATGGTAAGAGCGAGCGGGCAGCCTCGTCGTGGCTCGGCTGGATGGCCAAAAGAGTCGACCGGGGTCACACAACGAGTTGGAGTGGTCGTACAGACGAGGACCGGCGCTGCGGTAATCGGCGGCTTTCTTGTCGTTGCGTGTTGACTGGATGGAGGTGATAGGTTGCGAGACAACGGGCGGCGTTGCAGGAGGCGAGAAGCCGTTGGTCGGGTCGGGTTGGATGGGTTGGGGTTGAAGTTTCAGAAGAAGGGTTTCGGTTTGATGTCTTGGCGTTGGTGTAGATGGGTTCAGGGCCGCAAACGAGGGAAAGAATGGGGAATACAGCCAGGCCGGTTGAGGCAGGTTATGCGGCAACGGTGAGAAGTTACGTTGACCAGCCAGACCGAGGCATAAGGAATAAACAAACGAACAAAAGAATGGCAGGGGAGAAAGAGAGAGAAAGATGTCGACCAGACGGTGGTCAAGTTTCGGGTCGAGTTCAAGGCCGCGACCGGGGTCGAGGTTCAAAGTGGCCGCTGGCGCTGGTGCTGCAAGGTGATGTATGTGATTGACGAGGTTGAAGTCTCTGTTGGGCAGGTTGGGTCGGGTTCGTTTCGGCGACGGGCGGGAGCGGGAGGAGCAGCGATCTGATGGGTATGGAGCGAAAAACAAGGGGCAAATACCAATCGCCGAGAGAGCACGAACGCGCAAAGGGCAGGGCCTGCAGAGACAAGGACCTCCCGACCTTGGTACCCGTCTTGAGGGGCGGAGGCTAATGCGATGGAGTGATTTGTGCAGTCGTGTGTGTGTGTGTGTGTGTGTGTGTGTGGTGTGCGAGTGGTGTGCAAGTGGGAGAGAGAGCAGAGAGACGTACTCTGCGACGTTAAAAAGGGGGAGGGAACACTGCAAGACAAAGCTTTGCCAGTGAACGTTCCAGGTAAGACGCAAAGTTGGTGCAGATGTAGGCGAACGGGCTCAGTGAGAGAGCAATCGTCAGTCTACTGCATACGGCTGCCCACGGTAGTGGTGGTGGCAATAGTGGGGAAGCGGTTAGTGATGGTGCTGCTGTTGCTACTTTGAGATGGTGTCCAGAGGGAAAGGAAGCGAGAGAGATATCCCCTCGGTCTCGTGTACTTGCGACAGAGGTGGGAGGAGTAGTAGTGGTAGTAGTAGTATAGTAGTAGTTGTTGTATCCGTATGCAAGGCCACCCCAGGTAGTGTGGTTTTATCTGTACCTAGGTCTTGGGGAACAGCACGGCAGAGGTCGTGCGTGTAAGAGGCGGGTCGGGTTCGAGTCGTGTCCTCTCGGCCGGTGGAGAAACGGCGGCGGCGTTAAAAGACGATAGATGTAGACCAAAGAAAGGGTGACGTCGTTGGTTGGAGACGAGGATGGAGTGACGGCAACGGGCGGGTTGATACTCGAAATTCTACGGGCAGGTCTTGTTAAAACGTTGCTCTTCTTGTATAGATGTTGAACACTCTTTGGCAGGCGTTCCGTGGCTCGAGGGGATCCTCCGCTATTAAGTAAGTAGAGTCAGTGGGCTTCTTTTGTTTTGCGCTCCATTCTCGAGTCCCCCCGCACCCCCTGTCCCTTGCACTACTACGGCCGCCATTGCCATCGGTGCTGTAAGAATTGGGGCAAAGGTTCCCGGACGCCCCCCCACCCCTGGAGACTGGAGGGCGCGTCGATGTGATGAATGGGGCCTTGAGATGATGGGTTGTAACTTGAAGGTAGGAAACGGCAAAGTTTAATCAAATCTCCAAGATCCATCCCTGGTGGGCTTCCAGAGTCTCGCCTTGGCAGGTGCGTGTGGGAGCGCGCGCACGCGTGCTTATTATTGTGTTCGTCTCTCATCGAGTCGTCGTTCTATCTCCATTTCGCCTTGCCGACCCTAGGCTTTCTCCTGGCCCCGGTCATCATGGGTCATGACAGTTGGGGAGAGGCAACTGCAAATGCAGATGAGGGCCTGATGTCTTCTTACCTTGGCTGCAATCTTAACTACGGGCTGAGCAGTCCGTCCGGATGGATGTCTGGTGAAGGTATCGAGGATCGAGGAGGACGGCAAGGCAAAAGAGAGAATGGTCGGCCAGCAAGGCAAGGGACAATGTCGGTACCGAGGAGCGAACAGGGTGGCTCGTGATATACCTGGGAGACCCGGCGAGATGGGAAAAGTCGATTGAGATAATATCGTGCGAGTGAGGTGAGGTGAGGTTCGGAACAAGACAGGACAGGATAGGACAGGAGCGGGTGGGTTCCCATCCGCCCATACATTCAGTAGCAGCAGCTCGCAGGATAGCGCGCATGTCCTATACTTGCCCAAATTACCCGGACCAAGTACGTGGGCTGAGCTAACGCAACGCAACGCAACGCAACACAACACAAGGACGAATGTACGGGCAGAGCAAGGCAAACCCGAGGAGGGGAAGCTCCAGTCAAAAAAGACGGGAAGAATGGCGGGTAGGGAATAGGGAACCGGAACCCGTATCCTGGGGCTCCGTGGTTCTATTTTGGCGACGATGGTGTACGGAGCAGAGCAGGTAGTGTACCTACTTTCTTTGCGTCAAATTCCCACGTTCCATTAACCAGCCTGCCACTGCCAGGATGAAGGCAGGTCCGATTTTGTTCACCATCGTCATTTCCTTCTCCTCATTCCCCTTGTCCTCCTTCCTCCCCTCCTTCCCCTTCCGCCTCCTCTCGGCCCTGCCTGCCTGCCTGCCTGCACCACTCATGCCTCCTGCTCCTATTTCTCACCTCATCCTACCATGCCGTTCCTTCACATTGTTCTCTTCTTTGTACATGGCGTCTAATTACGGAAGTAGGAACCCACCCCAGTCTAAGGCTTAAACTTGGAAGTATCTACCTAGGTACCTAGGTACCTCTCTATCTAAAGAGGTAGGAGGTAATATAAGTGTGTGCCCGTCTTCAAGTTATTTCTGGTATACGTACCATACATACACCATCTAGTGTAAAAACTACGAGAAACCGACTGAGTTTAGGTATGTGAGCAAACAGCTTGGCTTGGCTTGACTCGGCTTAGCTTGACCCTGGGAGGACTTGACTTGCCATGCCTGCATCGGTCTAGCGTACGGCATCCGGCGCCACTGAAGCAGCCGCTTGTTCGTCTTCAACCTCGCCGCCGCCCCACGCAACCCGCGGTGGTCATCGTCCCAAAGGCAACTTCCACCATGTCCCACCTTCCTAGGTACGTACCTAGGTATTTGTCGAATCCAAGAGCCTCGTACCTACCTAGGCTGCACTAGGTACCACTGCTGATCGGGCGGCACATGTCGATCTGAAACCCGCTCTCGACTGCCCGGTCGGCAAGAAAACGGCGGGAGGGCGGGAGAGGGGAAGAAGATGTGAGAGAAGGGGATTAGGAACGAAAGGGGGGCTGGTGTGTCTTCTCTTTTGGTCCCTACAAAGTCCAAAGGGAGTAGGTAAGTAGTATCGGTAACCCACTGCGAACTCCATGTTCCTCACTTTGGTTCACTCATTTCGTTGCATGTCCAGGGTCCGTCCCTCTCACACTCCAGTAGTATGGCAACGGCGCTAGTGTACTATAAGTACGTCGACTACCTAGGTAGGTAAGGTACCAGAAGGGTAGATTTGGTGGAGAGTCAGGGGAGGGTACCCGCCAGCCCATTTCAAATTCCCACCTCCATGCCATGTTATGTCCCTAGGGACTGAGATATGAACAGGGCTGTAAGCCGTCCGTCCAACATCTTCTTTGTACGTAAACCGCGTACGGACGCCCAAGGTCGAGCCATCTCATTGCGGATGTACATGTGACAACCTTGATTCTCTGCGCCACCCATGTGTTATCGGACTGTGGCAGTTACAGAGCGGCTAGAGAGCAGTAATGAGCAACCCGTTGACAGACAGTCACCACCGTACAAGGTCGTGGTGGGTTAGTAAGCTATATCGACAAGAGGCGTCTGAGGCCGTACCGGCATCAGCTGCATCCGGATGCTCCCCATTTAACTTTCTACAATACACTACAAAGCAAGGTGCATAGTGCCCGACACGGCCTGTCTTGACTATCCGAGCAAAAAGGTACTGGTCCCGCCTCACCCCGACCCCGGCCCCGGCATCGGCCCCGTCCCCTGCAAGCCACCTTGACCAAAGAGACTCAGATGTTCATCTTCGACCACCTTAGCCCCTTGTATCCCCCTCCCGCCGCCCCATTCCAATCGTGCGCGCCTCTCCGCTCAACCCTGATTCGGTGAAACAAGATGGACTCACACTTTGAGAAGTTGAGCGTCGCGGCATGGGTCGAGTGGGGTGGGACCAAGTAAGCATTACAAGCCAAGCAGACCAGCAGACCAGCGACGGGTACCAATTCGTGTTTGTGATGCTAAACTAGGCACCAAAGTAAAGTAGGATACGTCGGCGAACCCGCACGCCTTCAAAAATCTGTCCCGCCAGCTTGTCGTCTGTCATGCCACTGGCACCTCATTTCATCCTCGAGTATCTCCTTTAGACAGGTACGTAGGGTACGGCGGGCGTCTCAGGACCGGCCCTCGGTGCTTCTCTGCTCCGGTACCGTCCGATGTCAACCTTGCCTGCCACGTACAAATAAATACGTGCACTGTCAAAAAGAAATACGGCAAGAAGGAACAACCAGTAACTGCACCCCTGAAATCCGTCGAAGGATGCTCCTGCCGTCATGCGGACATTTCATGCGGCTTCTCGTCACATCGGACACCTTCGGCCGACATCCATCGGCAGACGCAACTGGGGTTTTTTGCACTTTGCGCTAGGAGAACCCCCCCGCTCGCCAAACACACAAGACTGCCAGACAGGAAAACGAACAAGTGATCCCATCAATCAATCTCAGGCATTTCACTGTTCCGAACCCGCCCACCTCACCTATAGCTCAAGTCCCGCCCCTTGAATGGATGCACCTTCGCCTGTCCAATGTCTCTGCGTCACATCAGCGCGTGCCGGGTTTCGGACGATGTCGAGACATAAAGACACAAGAACCTTTCAGACCGTCTGCCGGGAGTCGCCTCCGGTATCCCTCCTCCGTCGACTAGTGGTCCTACTCTACCTATTGGATGCAACGTTGACAGCCAAGGAAACAGACAACAACCCATCGAGTCCATCCACCGATACCAACTAAGCTCACCGACTCAGCTTCTACCCGATCCCACCCTCGGTTCCTGAGATCCAACACGCGCACTTGAATAACCAATCCTCTTGGACCCGTGTACCGGCACTCTACTCTATTTCTCACAAACAGTCACTGCGACTTCTCCGCTAGCAAAAGCAAGTTGCCGAGCGAGACGACGATCATGAGACGGTCCATATTGCCGGATGTCTTAGCGCAGAAACATATCAAAGATGGCAGGTACCTACCTAGCCAGATAAGGGTACAATCACACATGGGCCTGAGCAAAACTTGACGCACACCGCCCCTCCTCCCCCGCCGCAGCGCTCCCAACCTACATTGGTACACACCCTAGCTCCTTATTCACCGTCACCGTAAATGAGGAGTTGTCACAGTTCCTTTCTCGTCTGGTAGCCCTCCCACAGAGGTGCAAAGGCGTATCAAACAGCCATGTTTAATCCGCCTCCACCAGGTTCACTGCCTAACGCTCGTCAGTCACAGCACCGAATCGCAGCCGGCCCGTTGGGGATAAGCGTCTGTGACGCAACGACAGCGAATCGTTGGATCAGGTACTCTTTGCGCAGTCCACAAGCCCGCCAAGTTCAGTTCACATCAACTCCCACCGCCCTGTCGTGAGAGTAGTGTACTTTTCTTTTCTGCAGGGGTGAGGTCAGAACACCCAGCTTCTCAGATTCCCCACCCCCTCCCTCCCCACCGCGCTGGCAACTTGGGTTTCTTGGAATTCTCGCGAATCCTACGACAAGTTTAGCCGCCTTGACCGCGCACCAGGATAGGAAACCGGTTGGCTGCCTTGCTGCTTCAAAAAGCCGGCTCGGCTTTTGACATGCTCCAGACATCCTTTAGAGTGCTGCAAAAGTTCCGCATTCTCGACAATACTGCAAGTTCTCTCAAAATACGCAACCGACATTCCCGACTATGGTGCCTCGAAACTCGTCGATGATAGGTACGCCGCAGTTACGGGCGAATCGGACTCAATGACTGCCAGCGCTTCGGGCGCAATGGCTCTAATGCTCTAACACTCGTCCAAGTCCAATACTGAACCGGTCCCGCGTAGGGCGGCCAACTTGCAATCCTATTTTCATCGAGACACAGGACCGCCAAGATCCGAAACAACACAAGTCACCCGGGTCCTAGAAGCCATTTCCCAAGTATACATGCATCACAATTTGTACCTGGAGGCCCGGTTCCGTGCCTACGGAGTACAGAGTACATGGAAATTGGATCCACGAGATCCTCATTGGGGCCGGGGCCAGCATGCTGCTCCTTCGCGGGCATTTGATACTCACGTGGCACACACAATATGCTACCACGGCTCGCCGCTAGCTCTCGGATCCCCATGGCTGGCGGCCGGGATGAGGGGGGGGAGGGATATCCTGAGCCCATTGATTGCAAGGCCCGTTCCCAAGAGTCTGGTCGCACCGCGTCATGCAGCCAGCTCACTTCTGCAGCATGGGGGGGGGGGGGTGCCTCGTCAGCAGGCTCCGGCGGCATTTGAGCTCCAGCATACCTATGTGTGCTCCCCTCCACCCCCTGAAACACAGATCTCAGTACTTATACAGACAAGGAATCGGAATGAGTTTGGGTCATGCTTATCATGGAGTCCAATGCAATGGGCTCTAGTCCACTAATTCAATACCAGGCTGCCCTTGAGACAATCTCGGTGGCCCACCTACCGTTGCGAGGGGTACGTACGCATCATCGGAAGCCATGGTTGGTCCCAGCCTGCTGGGACCGATCGGCGCGAGCGGTATTAATTCCACGAGACGGTTGACGACTAAGCGGCTATACCTAGCGTGGCCATGGTCGGCTTTTTGCCCTTGTCTCTTCAGTCCCACCAAATCCTTTGTTCTGCAGGCTGCCAGCCAGCCTCAAAAGGGCGTCAAGGGGCTAGATCAAGTTCCCTTGCAAGCATTGGGAGACGGAGTCCTAATCGAACGAAACCTCTGTGTTGGAAATTGTACTCAAAGTTCCTTCCAACATGGCATCGATGGCCGAGACGATGGATGGGGTTTCGACCGGATGATTGGCCGTTGCTGGCCATAAGTTCCACGGCTTTCCCGCTTCCGTTCGGCGCTGCATACAAAAACGTCCCAGGGTCCGTAATGCTGTCTGAGGGCCCTGAGGCTGACATCGGGGGTTAGATGAGCTGGCAGTGGTGCTCAACCCTTGACCCCTGACACTAAGGACCCGACACTCTGGTACTGCATTTGGCCGCTACCCACACCGTGCCCATCCACTACCCGACTACCTAGTCACCTGAGTCGCAACCTACCTACCTACACTAGGTAGCTGCCTAGTGTAAGGTAGGCAGAGATGAGCAGAGCCATGTGGGCCCTCTTGTGCACGCAGTCTCTGAATCCGAACGAACCCCAGCCTCCGCGGACAATACGCAACAGGGATTCCAGTCAGTCGTCTCCTATCTTGCCATGTCCCAATTTGCAAGGTTGACGAATCCTCGCCTCGAGCCGGTACACGATGCGCTCTCTCAAGCCCTCTTGCAAGACTCGGGGACGCAGCAAGGCAGGAACCGACAACTGAGCAGAGCAGCTACTAATTGGCAACCTGCAGGTCTCAACTCCAGGCTAGTGATCTTTTCGTGACATTGGGCGCCGCTGACGACACCAAACCTTAATCGAACATGACCGGTGCGAGGAGGGACTTTTGCAATGGCCAACGCCAGCCGGATCGTCTGGAGAGCAATGTGTGCGCCACCCAGGCGCTAGCGACCGAATATTCAATTCAACCTCGGGCTACCTGCAAAGTGCTCGTCGCGGAGAGGAGAGACATGACAGCCCGACGCTGGCGATGCGAGAGTTTTGCATCGTCACTCACAACCAAGAGAGATAGATAGCCTACTACAGCACCTACGGTTGGAGTTGATATCGCATGAGTCTACTTTGCCAACATGTCTGGAACGCGAAACCTCCCTGGGAACCTGTCCACGCTACTGCCGAGTGACTGTCGCCGGTTCGTCGTCTCGCAGGCCAGGCAGGCATCGATGTTGACGCGCAGCTTCTCGACGGTCCAGGGGGTTCCGCCCCCGTCGACGGCAAGGGGTTGCTCGTTGGCAAATTTCCGTCCATTCGTACCTTTGGGTGGTCGCTTGTCCGTCCCTCTGATGATGGTGAGCTTCCTACTGTACCAGGGTGCTTACTATAGTACTATGGCATCTTACACGACAGGCGCTAGTTCGGAACACAAACTCGGAGGACCTTGATGGGCTCCACCGAGCAGGCCGAGTAGAATGACCTGGGTGTACCACTCACTCCTTTCGGAGGGGGCAGATCGATTCACAGAAGGCGTCAAATACGCCGACATGATGGAGCCTTGAGCCTCGTTTCGAGGCTCTGTGCAGCCCTTAAATACACTGGGCTGTGCAATGGGTCATCTCGAGGGTCTAGCAGCGCTTCGTTTGAGCCGGGGGTTCCAAGAGGACATATCCTTGGCCCGCGGGAAGCGTTCTGGAAGCAAAAGTGGACTTGCTCATCAATCCCGTCCGGAGTTTCCGGTTCCTTTTTCTATTTTTACTTTTTATACTCTTCTGAAGACGTTGCCTACCTTGACCACCTGGTTGGCGCTTACTGTGACGTTGTGGACAACTCCAGCGACGTGATGTCAGCGCCGATGTATCCGTACACTCATTCGATTCGTGTCATTACTGCGGCTACGGCGGGCTGCTGCAATCGAGTGTTGCCGCTTATATGCCGCCGTTGGGTCTTGCTCGCCGATCGCAACGATTACGGCATGGAAGTTACTTACAGCGCCGTGGGCGCTGGCATAACTATGGAACACTGTTGGGTTTTCCTTTGGGGAACTACCTCAAGCCCATCGCCTCACCCATGCAGATACCCTAGGCCTGGGCCCTTGCCTTGTTGACACAATATACAGTGTATAGCCCACCACATACCAGCGACGCAATGGCTCTGGATGCGGTATTAATGCAGCTTGATAATCAATCGTTACGTAGACGATTAGAGGGAGAAGAGAGAGAAAAAAGGTGGTGTACAATCATGGAATATGCAGCACGGCCAGGCAACATACAACCAGCCCACGAACTGGAGATAGGGTGCCAATCTTAGAGCGCGTATAAATGATTACACCAATTAGGCCCCTCCCTTTTAAGCAATCCACGTCCGACATGAGGAGCACACAAGAGCAAAATTTCCGAATGAAGCTAACCAACAGGAGGAGAATTCTGGATGTAATCCTGCAATAGCGGTTCCGAGTTCTCGGGTCAGCACTACCTGCTCCTCATTCACAAACGGAAACCGCACACCTCGAAGGCCGGCTTGTTTAGATGGCTGCTGCTGCTGCTGCTGCTGTTACCATCTCGGCTTGGATTGCATGTAGGTCATATCCAACGGTAATCAGTAACCAGAGTACTTTCAAATACAACTTCGGCATTGACTTGCGACCACAAAGACCAAGTTGTTCTCCCAAATGCCAGAGCCAGATGGATGGTTAAAGTGTGCGTTAAAAAGCCCATCGGTTTTCATATCCTGGACGGATGTTCTCAAAAACTTTCGTACCACTGTCCAGACGGCCGTGGATCGAGACGGCTGCAATGTAAGCTGCCTGGAAGCAGATCCTATGTGTTCCTGACGACAACGTGCATGCTCAGTTCGGGCATAGCACGACGCGGGTGACAGCAGTTTGCAATCATCATCCAACAGTGATGCGATTCAAACGTCGCCTGGAGGCCATCCACCCTGCTTTAGCCAGTCCTCTTGGCGCGGCCGGAATCATCGAAAGCAAGGGCAAGTTGCAAATGAATCGGATCAGACCTTGCATCAAGCTCGAGGGTATGCATAATACATAATACGAAGATCTCTCCTTACCTTCGAGATCATGGGGGTTGGATTATTCCCTGGCTATTGCTCGAAGACTAGCCAATAACGGGCGGTGGTGCCACTTGATGGGCGTCTCGCTCTTGTTGCGCCGCTCAGAGAGATTGCATGTTCAGGCAGCAGGTAGCGGATTCTACATTAACCTAAGCGCCGTCATTGAACACCAGGTCCCCGCCTTGAAAAGTTGAGAAGCAACTGAAATGGCGGGCTCGTCACACGGCTTCTGAGCGTCTCGCCCCATCCACGACCAGTAGGAACATCGTCCAACTGTCGCGGGCTGCCACGCATGCATCGATACCCTTCCCCGTTGACGAGCCATACCAAGGTGATACGTATGAGACCGAAACAGCCACCGCCATCCCTTGTTCGCCAGGGTCGATTCCAGCGTGCCATTCGATCGATGCCTATCGCACAGTTTTCAATTTTAGTTTTTATTTCATTTACCCGTCCGGGCCCAGGGAGGCGGGGGCCTCAGGACAGCCGCCGGTGGACCCGCCACGAGGAAGATGACGATCAGAACCCACAAACCAAGTCTCTCTTATGGGCATTTCTAGACGATGGAACAGACCGCTCTCCTCTACCCAAACAGGCTTCCAAATTAAACGGAACCCTGCTGGCGGGATGGCAGCCCTGTAGAAGCCTTACGTCGCTGGCGTTTCTGCACGAATACCCGCTGTGGGGTTAACCAAGGGAGACTGGCGACCAGCAAGCATTGTGAGCACGCGACGGTGGGCAGGGCCGGGTGTTGTCCAAAGTGGACGACGCCCTTGATTCGTTCCTGTCGATGGGTTCGGTTCTCATCAGCTGGGCCCTCTCGGCCCCGTGGACAAGTCTGGAGAGGAGCTCGCCGTCGTACGGATGGCCCCTCCCTCCGGTGATTACTCGGTGCTCATGACCGAGGAGCTCGTTGGCACCCCTCCCCTGGCATCTCCCTTCCCGGTCAAGGCACACCTGTGCCTCTCTCTTGGGCTTTGAAAACCGCAATCACGCAGGGACTGGGGCATGCGGATGGCAAAAACGGTTGCACCACGACTCGATCGCCCATTTGGGGGTGGGGGGTAGATCTCTACGTCTAGCTCTGCGTCCAGCCGGATGGGCACGGCTCAACGATACAGCAGCTCTAAGTCCTGAAAGTCCCTTCGCCAGTCAATAAAGATGCCAGACGAGGCGAGAGGCGATCTCGATGCGGGCAGGATTGGGGGACGGACCGGCGGTCTATGGTCGACAGGCCCGCGCGAGCGTGGGCGTGATAGGCCATTCTCCACACACGCCAACGGCTAGTTGGCATTTTTGACAGACCATTAGAGGACATGGGATCAGATCCGGAATGGGATATGTTGTCTGTAATGGCCCGAGGGCGACTCGGCCACCGGACCTAGGTCTTGTACATGGCTGCTCTAGTGGAATCTTGGTTCACAGTTGACGAGAATGCAGACGCTGAGAGACGCCCCTTAGCGGAATGCCGATCTGGCCTTGCCGCTTAAGCCCGGGTAGGATGATACACCACTAGCGCGAGCCGCTTATTAGGCTCGTCTTCTGATCAAGCCGCGGCAACGGACAGCGTGAAGTATATTCCCCGACCCAGTCTTCCCGGGTGCCTTCCAAAGACAGTGCCGAACGTCACATGGGGAAGATCGAGGGAGGCCGCTGTAGACGAAATGGCCGTGGCTCCAGAGCAAAAGGGATGTAGCAGCCATGGAGACTACATGTTTGTGTGACTTGACGGGCCAGCCATCTCAGGTTTACCTGTCTTGACCGCTTTTGTCTTTTGTTCTGTCGCCAGCCCGTTTCTGGGTCTGGCCGCCGGTCTCCCGTACACATGGGATAACTGCCGGCGCAGAGAGTCAAATCGGAAGACAAAAACGCATCATTGTGTGTTTGTCTGCTTTTTGTTTGTTTTGGAATCATCTTTGACGGGCCCCCCCCAGGGGGGGTCGGCAAGGCAACCCAAGAGGCATGTTAGATAGAGTTTGGAACAGCGAAGCCGAGACATCGAGCACAAGCAGCTTTGTGGCATGATCCCGTAGTCGATATGGCCCTTTGGACATTGGGTGACGGTTCCAACGGGGTTGAAGGAGGGCGCTACCATATGCTAAGAGCCCCAGAGCAGAGGAAGTAAATCTTACCCCATGAAAAGGAAGCCAGTCCTGCAATGGGAACTTGCTTTCTAGGAATACTATAGGCCATCTCGCGACCAGTTCACGTTCACGTCAACGCAAGGATGGGGAGCAGGTAGAGGGGGTGTTGTGGCAGCAGGTTTTATTCTGAGGGTAACGAAACCGCATGTTTTACTGTTGTACACTTTTGTAGGAGTTGTTAGGTGTCGTGAAATGAAAAAGGAGGTCAGCATTCCATCCATAACCTTCCTGATGCTCTCAAAGGAAACCTTGTTCTGATCCGCCTGCTCCGTAAAATTGTCACCTGCACGCACACTTCACCCATGTTGACGAACTGCATGGCTTCAATGAACCTTTCCTTCGCCCCCCTCTCAGCAGGTGATGCTTTCTGACGTGCTCTCTCTCTCTCTCTCTCTCTCTCTCTCTCTCTCTCTCTCTCTCTCTCTCTCTCTCTCTAAGCTCTTGCTTCTGATTAGCGTCAGCCCAGCTCGCCTCTTGTATCTTCTCTGAATGCAAGTCTCCTTCGTGTGTCAAGGCAAACACCAAGTTGCTGCGAATGATATGGATATCAACTCGGTTGCTGGTCGAGAAGGCAAGAAAAAAAAACCTAGTCGGGTGATCCAATTGGGTTTCTCGCGTCCAAGCGAAAACACTGTGTCGAGGGGTGGAGGGGGGAGACAGAGCCGTTCCGAAACGATATTGATGAGGCACCGAGTAGGCAAAAAGCAACTTCCCGCTTTGTAGCCCAGAAGGTTGCAATCTCCTGAAAGAAAACCCCTGAACTCGACGTCGCATGTTCAATGAGTGCGAAGCCCAGTAGTTTCTTCATGCCTTCAAAGCCCGAGTTGGTTAGGTGGGCTGTGAAGAGTGCTTTACCACTCGTACTCTCCAGTGGCCTTATGGAAGACGTACTCCTTGCCGTTGACGGTAAGGACGCCATCCTTCAAGACGCACTTCCACTTGTTCTTGACGCGCTGGACCTTGTCATACATACAGAGCATGATGTGGCCCAAACCCTCATCGTCGACTTCATCTTCGTCCTTATCTTCGTCAGGGTCGTCAAGATCCGAGTTGATCGCGTCTTCATCAACTTCATCGTCGTCGTAGCCATCGTAGGAAGCTATACCATGCTCTTTACCCTTGGAGTGCGTAGTGGCGGCGGACTTGTGTCTCGTGGCCTCCTTGAGTGGTAGCATCAACCCACCACCCTCCATGCTCTTGGCGTTCGCTGCAATCTGTGCGTGTATCATGCGGTCAATGTCGATGCGCCCGAGCTCGCGTTCGTTGCCATCAGCATCGCGGTGGACCAGTACACCTTCAAAGTCGATGTCGTCACCGGCCCCATCGGTTTGCGAAGGATTCACGCCGGGTTGACCGTTACTAGGGGGGCGTTGCTGCTGCTGCTGGCCTTGTTGAGGCACGCCAGGCCGGTACTGCTGCTGCTGTTGCGTAGGCTGGCCAGGCATCTGAGGAAGGGCCGGCTGACCGGCAGGTCTGTTGGTCGCCGAGGCTTGAATGGCATTGATAGAGCCGGCTCCTTTCTCACCGAATTGGCCCTGGATATGTTGAGCTGCGCGGTAAGCAGCAATGCCAGCACCCTCCTGCTGAGCCGAAGGCATAGACACATTCTGCATGCCCGGCTCTGGTTTGATGTACGGCTCCTCCTTGACTGGCACATTTCTAACTTGGTTGGCAGGAGGGGCACCAGGCAGAGGTAGGCCGGGTCCCGGAATCTGAGGACTCAGCTGAGCCTGAGAGTATGGAGCGGCTGGTGGGGGTGCAGCAGTCGTTGGCGGTGGTGCAGCAGGAGCAGGTGCATCCTTCGGGGGATCCCAAGGGAAACTCGCCACCTCGAGCTGGGAGAGCTTTTCCTGCCAGCCTTTCTTAAGTTCATCGAGAACGCTCTCATCAACTCCGCCCTCTTCGAAATCGACGCGCGAGGAGTTTATGACCTCGGCGATGATCTGTTCATAGACCGCACCGACCGCGTTGTTCGACATGGTGAAAATCCGTTGACAATTATCGCGTGCGTACTTGTCGGGGAGTTCAGTAAAAGCTAGGCTTCTGGGGGCGAGAAAACCAATGGACGAAGCACCTGGACGCACTTTCTGCTCCACGCAACGTTCCTTCTGTGGGATAATCGATCGGTTGTGGCGAGTATTCCGTCGTCACGCTGTAGGTTGCTTGCCAAGTCAGAGGATTGCCCGTTTTGACGTTCGCCTGCCTAATCCACCACTACTTGCTGCCCAGAATGGCGTGCGCGCTCAAAAACTCGACGACTGCAAAACTGAGATTGGACTCTGGAAGTTTACTTCGTAGTTCTCGTGGACCCCAGTTGGTGAAAGGGGCTCGCTGGTACCCTGATTTTGCGACTGTTGGTGTGTATGGGACAAGGTTGTCTTTGTTGTGGATTTCGATTTGAGGATCGAAGCAGGCGTTCGTTTGGTCATTAGTAAGCTGCCTACCTGCTGCGGGAAGGCTAAACTCAGAGAGGTACTGAGGTAGGTGGGTACGTGTCGGTATTAATGATCACCAAGGCCCCATTCATATGATAAGATAAGACAAGTGGGTTGTACACTAGTGTATGTCCGAAATGCGGGGTGAGGGAGGACCGCAATTGCACGGGGAAGACGTCTCGAAAGGTTGGCATGAGCCTTCAAAGTGTTCAAAACCAGTTTTATTTGCTTGAGGGTGGCAATCTGTCACTTAACTGCTGCTGACCCTCTCTGACCAGGAAGCACATAATTAGGGTGCATTTCTTCAAAAGCAGTACAAATCAATCTATCCCGTGCTGAATGGTATCGTCTGCGGTCACTCATGACCAAGCAATTTCATTTCCCGTCGTGGAGAAGCCCTTTCATGCCACGCAGAGTCGGATGCAACAAAACCCAAACTCCTCGCTGAAGATGACCCCAACCGCTAGGAACCCATGACCGACAAATGCCAGAGGAGATATACCTACATTTGATGACGTCGTTGGACCGACATTCGCCAGGCCTGGTCGGTAAGACATTTACCGAATCGTCATCTGCTTGACCATGTCCGCCTTGGACGACGAGGTGCTGCTGCCGAGACCGGCGCTAGTTCCCGCCTTCTTCTCGAAGACCTTCCAGAACTTCAAACTCTCATCAGCGGCTGGTGGGCGGGAATTAGCAAATGTCATAGTCGGAGTACATTGGGCTACATGTTTCTGACTTACCTGCGGTAGCAAGCATCTGTCCGTCGGGGCTGAGGCAGCTGTGCAAGACTCTGCTCTCATGTGCAGGAATCTCAACGTTGCGGACTAAGGTCGGGTAGCTCCAGATGCTGAGCGAGTTGTCGGGAAAGCCACTAGAGCTGACAATCTCGCGGTAGTGAGGGCTCCAGCGGAGGCTAGTGACCTGCGAGCCGGTGTCGATACTGTTGACGCGAGCACCCGAAGTAGAATTCCAGAAGTGGATATGGCGGTCATACGAGCCACCACCCGTAGCCAGGAGGTTCATGTTCCATGGGCACCAGGCAAGGGCCTTGACAGCGGCCTTGTGGTTGGTCTTGGTGAACTTAGGGACAGAAAGGGAGCGGGCATCCCAGATGGAGACAAGGTTGTCGTTGCCTCCAGTAGCAAGCTGGGCGCCATCAGATCGCCATTCGAGGCCACAAACCTCAGAGGTGTGCGAGACCAGTTCTGCCACCTTGTGCTCCGCGACGCGGACATCGTGATTGAAGACAAGCCCGCTGCGTGCACCAGTCGATAGGAGGTGCTTGTTCCAACCCATGACACCAACACGGGTGTCGTGGCCAAACATGCTACGAACCTTTTGAGCCTCAGCAACGTCCCAGATCTGGACTTCACCGGTGCCAAGCCCGACACCGACGTACGCGCCGTCACCAGACCATTTAACACTGCTGACGTACGTGTCAGGACTGGTCTCGAGAAGGCAGCTGACGCTTCCCTCGTCGGCGGACCACACGTAGACGTTGCGCTCAAGACCGATGGCGACCTGGTTGCCAGAGCTCCAGTCGAGAAGGTTGAGGTAGTAGTCGTCAATCAACCCAGGGGCATCGAGGACACGCTCCGGCGCGGTAGCGACACGACGGCGAAACTGGGCAGAGGTAGCGCTGGCAGGCTTCAAGGGACGGTTGTACTGTTGACGAAGGTCGATAGGCTTGGAAGACTCAGGAGGTGCAGGCTTGAACTGAAGAATTCGGGTGTTGAGACTAACGCCGCAGGCACTTGCAAGAGAATCTTGGTAGGCGACCGTGTTTGGAGAAAGACGGGAATAGGTAGTAGGCTCCTCGTCTTCGATGTTGAGGCCCTCGAGGGCAGCGATAGCGTCGTCGGTTGCAGACGAAAGAACATTTGAAGACTCGCTAGAGCTAGCCTTGGACCGCTTATCGGGGCGATCGAGTTTGCTGCTACCGGCGTTGGAGATGGCGGAGCTGGCGCTACGGTTGGGGATGAACCGGTCACCGCTATAGTTGACAGTAGTCTTGGCTGTCTTTTGTCTCAAGGAGCTCTTCTTAGACTTGGCGCTAGAAGGAGTCTTGGAGGCCCCAGAGCTGGTCAGTGTGAAGTCGGAGACACCAAGCTCAAGAGCTCTGCGGGGAGTCGAGACACCTCGGGCAATGTTGGACTTGGGCGAGTCGCGGTGGGATGACTTGATTGTGGTGGATCTTGCCAGGTGTGCAGTCAGGTTGCCACCGTAGGTCGACTTGCCAGATGCACGGTAGGCATCGTTGCCCGACTGCTTTTCAGGGGTGAAGGGAGAGGAGTTCAGGTTCACTGATACAGAGGTGGTCGAATGCTGACGGGGGGAAGGGGTCAGAGGCATCCGTCCGCCGGCGGTACGGGAAGAGAAAAGACCCTTGTGGGACTTGACGGGTGTTGATACTGATGCAGTGGCCATTTTGAATAGCGTATGTATGTGGTATCGTGATAAAGCGAGTGGTGAATCTCCGACGGATGCAACAGATGCGCCGAAGGAAGAGGTGTTGAGAGCTCCGAAAATCGAACGAGCTCCAAGAGACTCTAGCTAAAGGTTCCTGGATATTGTGGTTGTTGTTAGTATTCTGTCGTTGTGTGTTGCTCGAAAGTCGAAGTAGTGCCTGGACAAGAAAGGCTTTAAGTCGGGGGGCGACCAAATGGCTGAGGACAGCAGTGGGATCTAATAGACTCTGGTTATTCTTGTCGGATGGCTTTTTAAGAGGTTTGAGCCAGCTTGAGGGTGTAGAAGAAGAAAGTCTGAGATGGGTGTGAGGGTGAAGAGTGGAAGTGATTGAGGTTGGATACGGAGAGAGGAGAGCTTGAAGCTGGTCAGGAACTCTCACATCTTTTATTTACTTTGTGCCCCACCTACGTTGCGGCCGAGCAACGACGCTTGGACCGGCTCTGGGAATTCGACAAGGAGACGACTGGTGTACCCTTGCAAGGGGCGCTGGCATTGCTGCCAATCACGTGGTCGTCTGCTCAGGCTCTGCCGCTAGCCAGGCAAGCCAATCAACAGAGGAGCCCCTCTTCACACCGTCTGCAGTTGCCACGACAGGAGACGGAGCCTCGGATTGTCAATGCAGGAACATTAGGACCTCCACTATCCCAGCGTGCGACGGCAACCATCGCCGTACGTCCTTTATCACCTTCTCGTTTCGCGCCCTTTCGTTGCTCACAATACACTCCTGCTTAGGCAGCCTACAACGCAGCGACATCATCTCTTCAGCGACTTCGGCGATTGAGATGACTTGTTAGCAACGTTGCCCATCATGGCCCAGCCCCAACCGTCACCAGCAACACCCGGAGCGCTGTCCCAGTCTCTTTTCGGCGGACCCGCCTCACAAGCCTTGACAACGCCGAATCAAGCCTCGACTGCGCTGTCGCAGCCGACCCCGTCGCCGATGGACCAAACACCAGGATCGGCCACGTCGAGTAACAATACCTACATCATGCCCAACTCGCCTATTAAGAACAGGGGTACCTTAGATGGGTATCGTCCCAGGGTGACAAGAACCTTGGGGCAGCGACCGGCATGTTTGGTCAACGCCTCGGTCACGTACTGCGGCAACAACCACATCTATGCCTTCGGAGGGTTTGATCAGTACACCGATGAAGTGTACAACCACGTTCTCAAACTGGACTTGGTTAGCCATCAGTGGAGTCTAGTGGATAACTACGGCGATATTCCCGGCGTACGCATGGGTAAGTTCTCTGTGGGATGACTCGCAGCGGCTTTCATCATATCTAACACGGAGTCTAGGCCACACGGCTACCCTTTATCAAGGCGACAAGTTACTCGTCTTTGGCGGCGAAAATGAGCATCGAACCTACCTATCCGATTTGATCATATTCAACCTGAAGACAGCGCATTGGACACAGCCCCAAGTTACAGGTCCTGTGCCGAAAGGCCGGGCACGACACGCGGCAGTTCTACACGAAGACAAGCTTTTCATTGTTGGCGGCATCACCGGTCATGATAATTACGTTCTCGACGACATTTGCTACCTTGACCTGAAGACCTTTACCTGGTCACGATCCTGGCGTTTCGTAGGTCGATTTGACCACTCAGCCTATATATGGGGTGACAGAGTATGGGTCTTTGGCGGGCTTTCCGAGGATATGGACAAGATCGGTGATCTCTGGTGGCTCGACCTCAAAGGGAGTCCAGCTTTCGAATCCACACCTCAAGTTGGTATTTACGACCGCCAAGCGGGTACCAGTCGAGCTGTTGGCTCGCCGCGACAGCCCTACTCACTGGCACATCCGCCGCCAGTCGTTGGGACGTCTGGGTATGCCGCCAACTCCCGGACACAGCAGGTAAACCCGCCATCATTTCAACTCAAGGCTTTAGCTCCCATGGCTCCCGGAACCATTTCGTCCCTCAAGTTCGTGTCCGGGCCCAACATACCCTCGCAAGGGTCTGGTATCCATTTTCATGTGTACTCTTCGGGTACCCTCCTTGACTTCGTCACTCCAGCGGCAACGATTACTTCCAAGGAGTGCTCTCTATCAGCCTTGGACCTGGCGACTCTACGATGGCAAAAGCTCGCTGAGGGTCGTGATATATTCAAGTCGGGCTATCGCTGGCACTACTGCACAATGAACGAGGATGGCACGAAGGCTTGGCTTCTTGGCTGTCCGACCGACCCGGCTGCATCGGATTTGGGCCCTAACGGGTTTGAGGAATACCTCAGGTGAGTTGTTTCAACAGTACCTGGTCGTACGTGTCTTTCTGACAAGACATCTCACAGTGATATCATGGAGATTGATCTGCGCCGGTTTGGCTTCCTCGGGAACAACCTATCCTCTGAGCCACGCATAGAGTCGAGGCCAACGACGCGAGTGGTCGACCAGCCTTCCAAGGGCCTTGGTGCTGATTTGGCTAAATTATTCGATCAGCCCCCTGAGAGTGGCAGTGGCACTGACTTTGTCATCACAGCCCTTGAGGGCGATTACGAAGACGATGATATGATGAGCCGAGCTGCTGACGCCTCTGCTGACCAGAACTGGTTGGCACCTGACGCCCCTACGTCTCAACCGATTCACGTTCATAAACTTATTCTTCAAGCTCGCTGGCCGCATTTTGCCCGACTTTATAACTCCCAGATGGCAGAGTTCCATACCAAGAAGATGCACATACCTGAACCATATACAGTGGTTAAGGCGTTCCTGTACTACTTATACACAGACAGCATCCATGGAACATCAGTCAATGAGAGTGGCGCCACTACGGACTTGTCGGACGTGGCAGGCCTACTGGTCATGTCAAACATCTACGGCATTCCCCATCTCCGGCTGCTCTGCGTGAATCGACTTTCCAAGGAGCTAGATGTCGATCATGCCTGTATCATCTGGCACTGTGCTGGGCTTGCAAATGAGGAATGGCTCCGCAAACGTGCAGCGCAGTTCTGCCTCACACACTGGGGTCGCATTGTCCGCACACAGGGGTTCCTGCGACTGCCACGATCAGCGCTGGTTGAGCTGTCTCAAGAAATTGATATGGAAGGCCGCGTTGTGGGTGGCGACGAACTGGAGTATGTTGGCGGGCTGGCAGGCTCACGTTTTGGTGACGGCTGTTCCATCGTAAGTCGGAAAGAGAGTATTGGCAGCAACCACACACAACTCCTTGACAGCGAGGCCGATGATGAAGATGGCATGGAGATGAGCTGAGGTCTCATGGCAAATAGATGCCAAATGGTAAATGATGCAAAATGCGCTGGGTCCCGCAAAATACTTTGCTTGCTTCAAAAGGGGGACATGCGGCAGCGGACGAACTGGTGGTGAGGTACTCAAGACCACCTGAGCTGCTAGACGTGCTGGCACGGTCTATCTTCCCTCAATTTTACGATGGCGAACAAGTAACGACGAGATGGCTTACTGCATGGTCTGGTGTTGCTTGCTTTACTACAGGTGCGGTTCTTGTTTTTTACTTGGATGGTGGAGTTGTGGCATTGTAGTCTTTATTGTAGACAGCGATATCCCGAAAGTTCAGTAGCAGAGAAGAGATTTGTTTTTTTTTTTTCCCCTTCTTCACTTCAGAAGTGTCCTTGATTCCATTCACACGTTCATTCTATAATTTGGGAAATTTTAAAGCGCAATGAAAACAAAAACTCGAACTTTTCCCATCCAATGTCCGACTTCGACGCCTTGAGACGAATCATGCGTCATCAACGTGCAACCCCCAAAACCTTATGGGAGACAATCATCTCCAAAAAGACAACGAAAACGACAAGGCAAGGAACTACTTGATGGCCGCGATGCAAAACAGACATCCTTGTCTGGGTCTTTTTTTCTTTTCTTTCGTTCTTCCTTTGTTGTCCAAACTCATACAAGACCACCTTCCTGACCAGATCCATCAGTCATGTCCCCATGGCCCTTCTTTTGGCCTTTTCGTGTATTTCCGTGATAGCATCCTGTGCATACACATACTGTAAACGTGTCTGCAACACATTCGTCGCCTGCCGTTCCCAATGGCAAAGAAAAAGACGCCCCAACGCGAGGAAGTCGAATTATCGACAAAACTCAATCAGAAAGAAAACCAAACAACGCTGACCTCCTATCATGGCCTCGTAGCCATCTACGCTCGTTCGCTTTCGCAGAGGCGCGTATTAATCTAAAAGGGGATGTGCCGCGTGCCAAGCGTCGCAAAGCGATACTGGTAAGTCTATGAGGGTATAAAAACGGAGAAGAGCAGGCTCGGTCGACCAGGGAGCTATCCATGAATGCAACGAAACGCCACGCCGTATGCCGCAAGCCACCTATGTGGCCGAAATATATAGTCGCGACTCCACGACCGTAGTCAGGTTGCAGGAGAGATTTAGGTGACCACGATAATCTTTTGAAAGTACCCACCGAGTGTCGGGACCGGTGGGCGCGAGAGAATCGCATGGTCGAATGCTCCGTTACATCATCTGGTCTTCACCGATACCGGGCAGGTTGGACATCGAGTTCTCCATGAGGCCCGGGAGGCTGGCGAGGTTATTGAGTCCCGCAGCCAGGAACTTGAAGTCGGGGTTACAAGGTGCTGAGTGTCCTTTGTGCTGTTCTTCGGGTTAGACTTGGCAACTCGATAGTTTGAGGCAGGGATTGAACTCACGTATTTGAGACCGTTAAGGTTCTTGTAGCGCTTGCCACACACGTCGCATGAGAACGGCTTCTCCTTTTCCATTCCCAGCGTGCCGGGATACGGTGTGCTGGTTTCGGGATTGACGATTGAGAAAGTTCCATCGCCGTTTTCGTGCAGCTGTTGTGTCTGGTGACCGTGCGTCTTGTGGTACCTGTTTCGAGTCATGTTCAGCCACAAACCACATTAAAGCTACTGAGTCAAGAGAAACTTACTTGAGACCGTTCTGGTTCTTGTATGCCTTTTCACAGCCAATGACAGGACACTTGAAAGGTTTATGCTCCTCTGGAATCATCATTGCCCCAAACTTCTGGATCAGAGCCTTGTTGGCCGCGCTATTAGGCTGGCTAGGGTCGAAGCCCATTCCGATGAGGTGTGCTTGGATAGCTCGTTGCTGGTTGGTCAAAGCACCGCCAGGGCTGAAAAGATGCTTGCCGGGGTCGTTGATACAGAATTCGGAGTTGCCGTTGGAGTTGCCGAAGTTTACGTCCCCAAAGTTGGAACCGTTGAGCTCCATGTTGCCACCCATAGGCATTCCCGGCAGGTCTTCGTCCATGTCGTCTATAGAAGGCATCTGTGAGTTTTGGAGAAACCCGTTGTTCGGCCTCTGCTGCTGTGGCGTTGTTTGTTGAGTAGTAAGCGTGGGCGTGTTGACAGAGGATACCGTGGGGTTGTGCTGCAGACCAAAGCTTGCGGCTGCAGGAGTAGGCGGCTGAGATGTCCGAAGACCTTGAGTGAGACCCGAGGCGTTGACGTGCAACTGGGGTCTTTGCTGTTGACCAAACATTTGTCGAGTCTGAGACACTGAAGAAGCACTGTCGTCCATCTCCATTGTTCCCAAAGCGTCGTCCATCTCCATGTCACCAACTGCATCCATTTCGTCAAGATGCGACATTTGTGCGTGCTGCTGACCAGACATGTTTTGCTGACCAAGCTGCATCCCAAGACCTCCTATGCCCCCGCCGAGATTAGAGCCTGGGCGACTTTGCTGGCCGAGCTGCGACATGGAAGTGGTGTTTTGTTGCTGAGTCTGGGGCCTTGCGCTGCTGGCTCTGGAAGATGGCTGGGTAGGTATCGCGGCGAACTGAGAGGAGAAGGGTGCGTTACGCGCTGTGTTTGGGCTGGGCTGAGTATGCGATTCTTCATAGTGCTGCAGAAGATCGTGGAGGTTGGGCAGGTTGAGGCCGCAGCAGGTGAAGTCCTTCATGAAGCTAGCCTCGAGTTTAGGCAGGTAGGAACCAGAATGGAAAGATGGCGAGGCTTGGTGGGCAAACGGTGATGTGCCGGCCATGGCAATGCTAGTGAGGGCGGTCAGTACGATTTCTTGCGCGCAAGGGCAGCGATTTTAGTGAGTCGGGCAACATGTGGCAGGTCGCCACCGAGGAATGCGGGAGACGCAGACGATGAACTGACGCCGGGTATGGGGGACATACTCATCGCGAATAAAGCTGCCGAAAGACATTCCTCCCCAGCTTGCGCCGCCCATCAGGCTGCCTGCCAGAGACTCTCGTCGTTGGCGGTTGACATGATCGCGGTTAGGATTCGCCATAGAAATTGGCTTGGGACCAGCGCTGACAAAGGAGTCCTGACGACTCCGACCCATGGCCGAATCCATGGCTGGGCCAGTGGTCATATCAATACTCTTTGTCGGGGGGGGAGGAGGGAAGTCGAAAACGTCGTCGGGCAAGGCGAACGGATTTCTGTCGAAGCTAGATTTGGCGGGGGGCACTGGAGGGGAGGTGGATGAAGGGTCCCTCGTGCTTGTGGGTGTGGCAATGGTGATTGGCTTGGAGGTCCAGAGGCCTGCGCGGGAATCACGCACGTCCAAAGGATGGGTGGGCGTGAGTGGCTGAGGGGAGGGAGAGTTGGAGGTGAGATAGGCAGAATTGGAGGAGCCGGGCGAAGGAGTCGCAAAGGCAGCGTTGTCAAGAGTAGAAGATGCAGGAGCGGCGGCGGCGGCGGTGGTGGTGAAGGAGGAGGTCGACGCACGATAACTAATATTATCGGCGCTGGCGTAGTCACTTCTGCTGGGCGTGCGCCTGTCCTCGCTGTTGTGGGCGGCGGCGGTGGACCGGGGCGACGGGTCCCTTGGGTCCTCGGTACTTGTTGGGTTGAACCAGCGAAAAGCGCTCCTCATGACGGCTGGAAGTAGCCGTTGTATTGGGTTAGGTAGGGGGGCCCGTGGCTCCCAGAACGTTTCTCGACCCTTTCTGTGGGTACTTATTAAATCGGGCCACTTGCTGCAGCCGTCGGATGAGTCCCGAAAAAGGAGATCGAGTCCGCGTCTCAACTAGCAAGATGTCAAGAGGGCCAGGTCGGAGAAAGCAAAGGGTTAAAATAAAAGAGGGGTGGAATTCTGTAAGATCTGTTTGTGCGGTTGCCTTTTGTTTTTTTCTGTCTTGTTGTATTGATCTGATCTCTCCTTTTACAAGCTGTTATGTGGATGTGTTTTCCCACTGGAGAAAAGCTCGGAGAGATGAGACGGGGGTAGGGGGGACTTTCGGCAGAAGCGACTCGCTGTGGAAATATATGGATGGATGATGGCAGCTGAAAGTGAAGGACAGTGGTGGTCAAGGTACCCTGAGGCCAAGCCGCCCTGTACCTGATTGAGTGGACGGTTCACCGTAGCCGTGCTTGACCAGGGGGGCGAATAAAGGTGGGTTGGGGGCCGACCGAGGATGGTGTTTCCGGCGACGGCGCGTGGTATTGGTAATGACTTGTAGAGTCGCGTCGAAGGCCAGAGACGAATCAAATCAGGGGGGCAAACGAACTTGGCTTGATCGTTTTTGTCGGAGTACGCAAGTCGTTGGTCTTTAAGAAGCAAGCCCGATCCAGCGCTGGCCGAGAATTGGTGTAGGTAGCAATGTTGATGACGGTTTGATGATGCCTATCCTCGGACTCTGCGACCGAAACTCTGTCTAGCCGCTGAAGGTCCTTCCTTGGGCGGTGAAGCCGAAAGGGTTTGTGGCGATCTGGTTCCAGATTATCGATAGTCAGACAGACGGTCAGTCGAGATGAGTCGAGAGGAGCTATATAATGATGGCCGGCTGCTTGGGCGGTGTCGATGTTATTATTATGATTATGCGCAGTCGTCTTATAGTTTGGGCAAGGTTATTCGTGGGTACCGTATACACAGCGTTGGCTCCGGTGCAAGCACAGCTGTGAATGCGGTAAGCCTGACAACTCGACACGACAAGTCTGTTTGTCGAAGCAGCTGAGGATTGGGAGCGATGGGCGTGGGTAGTATGCAAATGTGATCTGTAACAGCGGTTTCTGTCAAAGGTCGAGGTCAGAGCAGACCTCGAGGAGCCGGCCGGGAGGGGGGAGGGGTTATGAATGAGAAGTCGGACGGTAGATCTGGATGGAGATGTGCTTGCATGCGTTGACTCGACTCAGGAACAAATCCGGGTTGCCCTGGTGTCGGGGTCAAAGTGGTGGGAGGGTATCCATAGGATAAGGCAGAGCGAGAACCAGAGCACAGGAGACGGTCTCTCGAAGAAAGCTCGGCCAATGTTTAGGGGTTTGGATTTGGGGGGTCTTGACGACT